TTAACATAAAGATTTTTTTTATGGAGACAATGACTTTTCTGCGAATTTAATTACTTGAAATATAATTCCAACGATGAAAATGCTAAAATTTGTTTACTTTCTCGGGAACCTAAGTGCAAACATTACAGCTTACTCGGATCTAAGAAACCGAATGCCTTCTATTTCTGGATGGACTTGACTTTGCTTCTTCAGGTTTGGCAGAACCGAGGCTTTCCGACGAATCCGAACCACTGTGCTCACCCCGGGCTGCTTTGCTTGATCATATCTTTGTAAACATCCTCTTCGACTTCATCGGACCTTTCTTTTTACTAACGGCGGCCTGGTCAACGCCATTTTTCGTACTCGCTCCTATCCCATTGCTCAACCTTAAGGCAGGTAGTTCGGCTCTCAGAGCCCTGAGCTCCTCAGATGCAGACATTGCATCCCACTCATCCTCTGGATCGGTCGCTGCTGATCTTGAGCTCCTTCGAGGACCGCTATTTGGATACTTCAGGGCTTTGGGTAAGTCAGGAGTGCTACTGCCCGATGAAGCTGCAGCGGCACGGGATTGCTCGAAGAAGAGAACTTGAATGACTACACGCAACGGAGCCTTTCGTTTTGCACAGCATGCTTACATGCATCAGCTGATAGTTTCTTGCAGTCCATTAACTTGCATAATCTTTTTCTCTCGCTCTTGCCGATCCACGGGTGCTCCTGCATCGAGGTTTATATATACACCAAAGTAAAGAAGCTAACCGAACTGGTTTACCTTCGTAACAATAACAGTTGCAAGTATAATGTAAATACCGATTTGCTATTCATCGAAAAATATGAGTTTTGGCAAGATTATCACCTTAAGATACATGTCGATGGCTCGATAAAGTCTGTCATGAGAAGGCCGAGATATGTAAGACACCGTTTCAGCAAGATCTACAAACTTTGACAAGGGTAAGTTGGAATCCTTTGCGATTTCAGCAAGGTATGCATCCATCAACTTTGCCACAATCAGCTTGGAGGCATCTGTTAAGATTCCAGGTCTTCGTATTTCCCGAATCTCGTATTCTTCTGATTTGAATTCGGGAGTCTGTTCTTGCATTAGAAACTCTTTCAATATTTTCTGCACCGTATCAACATCGTACATTTCGTCTTCTCCTTCTGCTGCTCTTATCAAAAGATCATTCACGGAAGCTTCCTCCAGTTGTTGTCCTATTCGTCTCCGCAGCTGTTCCCTAGCCATGTTTCCCGAGTCGACTATGATAGCTGCTTTCAACAGATTCAGCAAGAAACTGCAAGATACACTTCCTTTCTTCGCAGGCAACAACCAGATCATTGTATCAACTGTCGATCGATACTCTCCGATGTCCCCAGAGTGGATTACACCTTTACTAACACCTCGCAACCTTTGGTAAGAATAAGCTTTCAAAGCTTCTCCTATCAAATCAAGGGACAGTATTCCTTTGGTTTTTATACTCGTTATAACACGCTTAAATAGATCGATTTCAAGTTCACACAGATCCTCGACCCACCAATCCTTTGGCACCGGTCTACTTTTGACGTCATTACAGTTTGGATCATTCCCATTCTCCTCCAGTAACTTCCTCTGGTTATAAGTGTAGGACCAATCAACCTTAGAAACATCGATGCAAGCATTGGAAGCTATGGCATCGATGCAAAGACTGGCCACTTTCAATTCCTCGGACAATGGTAACAAAGATTTTGTAGTCTGAAGAACAACGATCGAGTCCTTCCAGCTGTGGAAGATGCTGGAGTCGAGAAAGATATCAATCTTGTAAATTAGGTTCCCTTTTTCGATGGTCTCATACATTCCTAAGTACTCAGCTGCGCATCGAGTGGCAACAACGTTGTGAGCATTAAGGTTGACAGCCATGCCATAACAAAATTTGGCACATATCTCAAACGAAACCGGACCACCGGGAATGTCAGAAATCTGAACCTCGTTGCAATTTTCTTCAATACCACTTACAACCAAATTTTGTAAGCGGACACTTTTCGAAAGAAGAGGAAACTGCATATATGTTCATCCATTAGCCTCAGAAAACTGAAATGAACTTTTAAGATAAAAAAACGGGCAGAGCAACGTAAAGATTGCTCGACTTAACCGAACTAAGGAATAATGCAATGAATGCTTGACCATATACAAAGAATTTACATTCAACCGGAAGAAAAGGCATACCTTGTGCAGATAAAACTTAACATCCCCAACGGTGACTGCAATATCGGTCGCTAGCTCACTCGCCACATACCTGAACAAAGGTAAGTAGGCGTAAAAGCATCCACTTTTTTCAAAACTCACTCAGTGCAATATAAAGACCATATTAAAAAGGTGCCACAGAGGTTGTGGTTCAATTTGCAGACCATATACCTTCTCTTTTTAACCTATTAACATTCGAAAACAGGAACTCTTTGAATTGCTCACAACATGAGTATTGTACTGCAAAGGTACTATTGTTAGATTTTAACAAAACCAGCAACCTATACCAGAGTCTTGTCTATGGTATATCAACCTGTTTAATAAAAGTGAATTAAATTCGCATTAAGCAGAGGAATTAATACTCGTGATGTCCGCATTGCCGTGATGTATAAGCGATAAAGTGTCAAACACCGAATTTATTTGACTAATAAATAATGTATAGGCTATGTCCAAAGAGTCAAAGCAACAAAACTGAATGAGAGAAGCAAGAGATTGTCATCGAATGCTCTTAAAGAAAATACATCAAACAACACATAGGAGACATAGTTCTTTTGGTTTATTCGACAAGGCTCCAAGAGATCTCACCTCACGTTATTCCCATCTCTTCGAAACATGTCCGGCTTCGATCCGAGCTTCATAAACTTCATGTTGTCAAACCAAAAGATCTCCTTCCTTCCCACTGAAACCTGAAAAATATGATACCAGACAATCAACAACTCAAATAATATGCAATGAAAAACACATAACCCCAAACCGAGAAAAACTTGCCAGAAACAGTAAGGGAATATTACCCCAAATGTGGGGACCGAGTTTCTGAGTTCAACCAGGCTTTATGTGATTCAAGATGAGATTTTTTTTAACAATTTAACAAATAGATAATTGGCAAGTTGAGATTTTTAAGTAATAATTTGAGAAAAATAGAGCCATGCGAAGCACTTGTTTCCTTTGTTGATGGCAAACCCCACCGAGTCCGGTGGCACCGAGTCAGCTTAGGGGGGGCATAGATGACGGACTCGTTACACTAAATAATTCCCCACAAGCACCAATCTGAGATACACTAATCAATATAAAGTTGCAATTTTTATTTTCAAGTTGAAATCTGGGAATCCTGCAACGGGAAAACAGCATCTTGGTAACAGTTGAAGACATCACCAAAACGGTAGACAACAAGCATCAACCTTTATTATTTTTGAAAAAAAAAAGCCTGGGAATAAATGCAAAAAGGGGATCAATAACAATACCACCCACAAAGTTAAAATCTGAGGAATCAACCAGAATATATTCATAGATATCCATTTTTAAAAAATATGAGATTTTTATATGTTTTAGGCTTTTAGAACCCCAAAAAAAAGAGAGTACAAGACAATCCCCGAGCCACTCTCCGTGTAAACCCCAACAAATTCCAAGACAAACCCTTTCAGCAAGGAAACAAGCAAAGCCTGTGAAAAGTAAATCCCCTTGAGAGCATATAGAAGACTCAAATGGAAAAAACAGAGCTTACCCAGAAGTTTAAACCACAAATGCAGTAAGTAGAGGGAATTTACACAAAACCCATAGTGACCAGAAACTAAAAGGAACCAACTTTAAAGTACCCCTTAGTTAATCAAAGTGCCATGTTATATTTTTTCTGTAAGTTTTTTTTGGGGGGGGGGGGGGGGGACTGAGCTGTTGCAAAAATGTACTGACAATACTATGACTTTCCCAATCAATAGACACAAATAAAACTTTAGGTTTGTTGTTGCTTGGTGTGTCTCTTTAGGTTTGGGGGTTGCCATTAACACGCTCAACGTCTAGCTCAGTTATGCACGCCAACGCTGTCACTTAGCTTCCCAGTTTGTTGTTGCCACCCTCTTTTTTATATTAGGCTAAAATATACTGGTAGTCCAAACTTTTAGGTTATTTGTATTTTCGTTACCTAACATTTGAAATTTGCAATAAAGTCACTAAACTTTTAATTTGTTGTTATTACAATTATTGTCGTAAAAAAACTGATATAACATGTTAAAGTATATTTTTAAATACAGTCACTGTTTTAAATTTTCGATCTCCTTTGTCATAGAATAATTCCTTTTTTCCCTCTTAATTCTTTGTTTAGGTTCAATTGAGGTCAAATAAAAGTCTTGAAATATCGTCTTTCTATTGATTCTATCGTCACTAAGTAATTTCTCCGATTAAAAAATCAATAAATATTTCATTAACTCTGTCTCTTTCTTTTGTCGAATCACTATGCGTTGTTTCCTCTACAGGAAATATATATATATATATATATATAAACACAAATATATTTCATTAACTATTATCGACTTTTTTTTTAATAAACTAGCATATGTATTCCACCGGAGCGATTTGTTCGTGTCCTTATTCTTCCATGTTCATCAGTGAAGAACTCTTCATAACACAACCATTACCTGCAAATCCACTACCAGCTTCGAAGCCCTTGATTGCATGTACTGACATTAAAGGCTTAGCAAGCTCGGCCTCGAGCTTATCGAAAACCGGTTAACCAAGCCCCTGACATATCAGAATATTGCATTTCAGTTCTAAATTTAAATCTTAAACTTTAAACTCTAAACAGAATACGAACGCGTGGGGCATTCTTCACTATGCATGTGACAACATCGCCGATAGAATCGCCTCTTGCTCGCACAGTATCGATAGGACCATCATTTTATCGGTGTATTCAGGATTTGGACACCTTACGATACTACTCTCTATCTGACAACAATGTAATCGACAATCGTTAGATAATGCATGCAATGAATTGGTCAAAGAAGACAAAAGTTGCCAGAGGCAAGCAGGAACCTGGTCTAGAGTTACAGTGTCATGATCAACCAAGCCATCTGGAAGCACAACCTGATGAACTTGTGAGACAAGCAAGAACCTGAAAGACGAGACAAAAAACGTTTGATGTGGAATTCAGGTTAATTTCCACCAATAATAACAAATTCACCTTGAAAACTATTATCTAGGTGACTAGTGTGAAAACGATTGTACTAAAAATCACACCAAGGTAGATTCCCAGGAAAGAGAAGGGGTCACAATGGTCCCTTTTAAAACCCATTTTCCTTAGACAGAACTACCAAGACAAGTAATTTTAATATGACAATAATTAACAACAACTATACCCGACAATAGCTATTAAATAGACATAAAGAGAACACCAAAATTTAACGAGGTTAGGCCAAAATTATGCCTACCTCCTCGAACACTACTAAAATAATATTTCACTAGTAGAGGAAATATTACAAAGAGAATGGAAGAATACAAATAGCCTTTAATATAGAATAAGACTTATATTTGTGGGATGTTAAACTAAGGAGGAGGATGACTATATTTATAACAAAAGAATTTTCCCTACTCCTTATACAAAATCAATGTAGGATATTTGCCAAAAACCAACAAATCTCTACCTTGGCAAATTCCACACACGTCTCTCAAAAAATTCAATCTTCAGTAGTGTCTGCAAATTCATCTTTCAATTTGTAACAATATTGACCAAGTCTAAACAATGTTTAAACTTGACCGCAGTTACCACTTTTTTCAACATATCAGCAGGATTCTCAGTGGTCCGAATCTTCTGGATTATGACTCCACATTCTTCTAGAATCTCTCGTACAAAGTGATATCGAACATCGATATGCTTCGTCCTTGCATGGTAAACTTGGTTCTTTGCTAAATGAATAACACTCTGACTGTCACAGTGCACTTTGATGTGCTTTTGTTCCATTCCCAATTCACCAAACAACCCTTGAAGCCAAATTGCCTCCTTCACAACCTCTGTAATTGACATATACTCTGCCTCTGTAGTAGACAAAGCCACTGTTGACTGTAAGGTGGATTTCCAACTGACTGGTGCTTTTGTAAATGTAAACACATAACCAGTAGTTGATCGACGCTTGTCCAAATCACCTGCATAGTCTGAATCACAATACCCAACTACACACTGACCATCTTGTTTGTCTTGCTGAAAGACCAAACCAACATCTACGGTGTTCAGAATATACCGCAGAATCCATTTCACAACTTCCCAATGCTCATTTCCAGGATCATGCATATACCTGCTCACAACCCCAACTGCTTGTGAAATATCGGGTCTCGTACACACCATTGCATACATTAAGCTACCAACAACACTTGGATACGGAACCTTTGACATGTATTCCCGTTATGCATCATCCTTAGGTGACATGGATACACCGAGCTTGAAATGATAAGCAAGAGGTGTACTAACTGGTTTTGACTTCACATTCATGCCAAAACGTTTTAGTACCTTCCTCAGATATTCTTTATGAGACAAACAAAGCCTCCCCAATTTCTTATCCCTTGATATCTTCATGCCTAGAATCTTCTTTGCTTCACCAAGATCCTTCATCTCAAACTCCCTGTTCAATTGAGTCTTTAGTTTCGCAATTTATGTTTGACTCCTAGAAGCTATCAGCATATCATTAACATAAAGAAGAAGATATATATAGGATCCGTCTTGTAGCTTGCGTAAATATACACAACGATCATATTTGCTTTTTGTGTACTTCTGCCCTATCATAAACTTGTCAAATCGCTTGTACCACTGCCTTGGAGATTGCTTCAATCCGTATAGCGATTTTTCTAATTTGCACACCATCTCTTCTTTTTCAGCAACTTTGAATCCATCTGGCTGAGTCATGTAGATTTCCTCATCCAAGTCTCCATGTAAAAATGCAGTTTTTACATCCATCTGAACTAATTCCAAATCCAATTGTGCTACCAAAGCCAACAAAATTCTAATGGAGGAATGTTTTACAACTGGAGAAAATACTTCATTATAATCAACTCCCTCCGTTTGAGCATAGCCTTTAGCCACCAATCTTGCTTTGTAGCAGATGTTATTATTGTCAGGAAATCCATCTTTCTTTGCATATACCCACTTGCACCCAATTGCCTTTTTTCCCTTCAGAAGACTAGCTAGTTTCCACGTCTGATTCTTTTGAAGGGATTGCATTTCTTCATTCATGGCGATCCTCCACTTTTTATGTTTTGAACTTTGTACTGCTTCATTAAAAGTGGCAGGAACGTCATCAATTGCAATTGGTGATGCAAAAGAGACCATATCAGCATAACGAGCAGGTTGTCTAATAGTCCTCTTTCCCTTTCTTAGAGCAATTAATTCATGTTGTTGTGGAGGTTCTTGGGTCTGAATCTCTTCTTCATCTGACTCTTCTTCTACCATAGGAGAGTCAACATCAGTTTCTTTACTGGCTGGGTAAATTCTGCTTCCTTCAAACTCCACCTGTTTGGGAGTTCCATCTGTCTGCTCCAATTTTTCTGAAGTCACATTTCTCAACATGGTAGATTCATCAAAGGTAACATCCCTACTAAAGATTATTTTCTTTGTTTCTGGACACCAAAGACGATAGCCTTTCACACCAGAGGTGATCCCCATAAAGATCGCCTTCTTTGCTCTTGGATCCAGCTTCGACTCCTTAACATGGTAGTATGCAGTGAAACCAAACACATGTAAGGAATCATAATCTGTAGTAGATACTCCAAACCATTTTTCTAATGGTGTTTTACCACCAATAGTAGTCGATGGTAAGAGGTTGACAAGGTGACAAGCATAGACCAAAGCCTCAGCCCAAAATTCTTTGCCTAACCCAGCGTTAGACAACATACACCGAACCTTCTCCACTAATGTTCGGTTCATACGCTCTGCCACCCCATTCTGTTGTGGTGTACTTCTAATAGTGAAATACCTGACAATACCTTCTTCTTCACATACTTTCAGAAATGGATCATTTTTGTACTCTCCACCATTGTCTGTACGGAGACGTTTGATTTTTCTGCCTGTTTGAGTTTCCACCATCTTTTTCCATTTAAGGAAAAATCCTAGCACCTCATCCTTTGTCTTCATTGTATACACCCAAACTCTCCGGGAAAAATCATCAACAAAGGTGACATAATAGTGTGTTCCTCCCAATGAAGTTGTCTTGAAAGGCCCCCATACATCTGAATGAACATAATCCAAAATACCTTTAGTATCATGGATTGCTGTTCCAAATTTCACCCTCGTCTTCTTCCCTTTGATGCAATGCTCACAAAAAGCTAATTTGCAAGCCCGAGCACCCTTCAATAATCCTTGATCTATCAGCAATTTCAAGGATTTTTCACCAACATGCCCCAAGCGCATATGCCATAACCTGGTTGTTTCTGACTCCTGTTCATCAGTAGAAGCTATCACTGTTGATGTCCCAACAATTGTACTACCCAGAAAGTAATACACATTGTTTATTTTCCGGATTCCCTTCATTATCACCAGTGCACCAGAGATAATCCTCATAATCCCATCTTTTGCCCTCACTTCTAGACCTTTTGACTCTAAGGTTCCCACAAAGATGAGATTTCTCATTAAATCTGGTACATAATGGACACCTGTTAAGGTTCTGATTGATCCATCCTGATTCCTCAAGCGAATTGAACCAATCCCAAGTGTGTCAAGAGGGGAATTATTTGCTGTGTAGACAATTCCACCTTTTAGTTCTTTAAAATCAAAGAACCATTCTCTATTGGGGGTCATATGGTGGCTACAAACTGAATCTAACAGCCATGAACTGGAACAACTGGTTGATGGCGTAGCAGCTAATGCGAAATCTGAATCTGCATCATCATACTCGACCACATTTGATTCTGAGACAGCCTTTCCCCTTTCAGGTTTGCCTTTGTTCTTTAGTTTGGGACATTCTTTCTTCCAGTGCCTTTTTTATCGACAAAAGGCACATTCATCTTTGCTCAATCTGGACTTTGACTTCGATCTCCCTCTCCTTCCTTTATTCTGACTCTTCGAACGGCCTCTAACAACAAGAGCTTCTGCTTCGACACTTGTGTTTTCTTGTTTGTCTTTCTTTCTCAATTCATAACTATACAAGGCAGCAGTTACTTCACTGAGACACACATCAACTTTCCCATGAAGTAGAGTAGTTTCAAGATACTCAAACTCATCAGGAAGTGATCCCATCAACATCAGAGCCAGATCTTAGTCTTCAAAAGTCACGTCCATATTCATCAGATCAGTCACCAGCTGATTAAAGCTAGTAATGTGATCATTCATAGTGGTACCTGGTACATAGTTGAAGCGGAACAATCTCTTTTTCATGTTGAGCTTGTTCTGACCGCTTTTCTTCAAAAATTTCTCCTCCAGTGCTTTCCACAATTTACTTGCAGAAGTTTTCTTAGAAAAATGTATACTTCTGCTCTCTAGAAAGACACGATCGAATAGTACCACATGCCAATCTATTGATCCTCTTCCATTCTTTCTCCTCAACATCATCTGGTTTCTCTCCTTCAATAGCAATGTCTAGACCCTGCTGAAATAGGGCATCTAGAACCTCACTTTGCCACATGCCGAAATGACCGGTGCCATCAAAAATCTCCACTGCAAATCTAACATTTGTCACAGCTGTTGACGACAATGTGGATGTTTTTGTTGCGTCTGTCATTTCTGCTACAAATTCTATTTAATAGTTGCCAATTATCCCAAGGAATTTTTTTTCTGATGTGGAAGATCAGCCTAAGTTGCAACCACAGAGCATACTAAAATAAACCAAGAGCGCTGATACCAATTGTTGTGGAATTCGGGTTAATTTCCACCCAATAATAACAAATTCACCTTGAAAATTATTATCTAGGTGACTAGTATGAAAACGATCGTACTAAAAATCACACCAAGGTAGATTCCCAGGAAATAGGATGGGTTACAATGGTCTCTCTTAAAACCCACTTTCCTTAGACAGAACTACCAAGACAAGTAATTTTAATAGGACAATAATTAACAACAACTATACCCGACAATAGCTATTAAATAGACATAAAGAGAACACCAAAATTTAACGAGGTTAGGCCAAAATTATGCCTACCTCCTCGAACACTACTAAAATAATATTTCACTAGTAGAGGAAATATTACAAAGAGAAAGAAAGAATATAAATAGCCTTTAATATAGAAGAAGACGTATATTTGTGGGATGCTTAACTAAGGAGGAGGATGACTCTATTTATAACAAAAGAATTTCCCCTACTCTTTATACAAAACCAATGTGAGATATTTGCCAAAAACCAACAACGTTAACAAGGACTACTCTTCCTATGGTTCCCCCCACCACCAATTTGAAACATACCTCAGTTCCTGAAAATTGCTTCAGGATTTTCTTAGCAATAGCACCAGGGATAACTCTTCCTATGGTTTCCCTTGCAGATGATCTGCCACCTCCCTTCAAATTACAAGTCCAAATTTACAGATCTGCATCTCTTTATAAAACTTGGGCTGAATTTGATACTAAAAAGTGTTTGCCTGCACCTCCCGGACACCGTATTTCGTGTCGTAAGTGAAATCGGCATGAGACGGCCGATAAGCCATGGACATTTCTTTGTGATCTTGTAAGAACATCTCCTCTCTCATCAGTGTTTGGTACAAATACATGGATTGGTGTTCCAGTAGTCACTCCTGCAGTTGTGCCATGATTTACACAGAAAAAAGAAGCAGAAGAAGACAGTAATGGTAGTCGGTAGTAATTTGAAAGAAGATTTAACCTTCGGAATATATCCGTCGCCGTCCTTGGGGTTTGACCTATCCTCCTGCAAAAATGAAGCACAAAATTTGTAAAAATTCTTAACAATCCACAGATCAAATATGAAGAACTGAACATGAACAACGAGATCGGTTCAAAATCAAGAACCTCCGATCAAGATCAACTTGCAGATCAGCTTCTGAGAGAGGAATCCTGGGAGGATAACAATCAACTATATAGCCAAGACCACCTCCATGAGATTCTCCGAAAGTTGTAACACGGAAATAATTTCCAGACGTGCTACTAGCTGCCTGTATCTCTGTTAGGTTAGAACTTAGAAGCTTAACTTACCTCAAGACTTGAAAAAATTTGCAGAAATCGAAATTTGAAGCTCAAATAAGAAAACTTACCAAACTTTCTTGGTTTGATTGCAAATTTGCAATGCAAAGAGAGGAAGAAGAGAGACTTTGAATATACGAGGAAAGATGAGAATTGGGATTAGTAGCTCCAAGGAAAGGCTTACTTGTATTAAAAGAAGAAGCCATGGGAAGCTTTGAAAATAACTGAGCTGCTGGAAATGTAAGTTATGGTGGAAGACGGAGAATTATGGTAGTCGATGGTTTTCCTCGAGGCTTTTTATTCATTCACTCACTCGACACGTCACTATTATATTTACACGTGTTTTAAATTTTAAATAAAATATATATTAAATCATCTTATATTTTTTTTTTGAGATAAAACCATATTTCGATAGTTTAGGCATTCAGAGGCTCTTTTTTTTATTCACTTTATACCTTCTTTATAGATGAAGTTAATTTTTTCTTTTTTCTTTTATTTTATTTAGTCAACGATTACGTTGATTTTGATGTTGATTGTTGACCGTTAATTCTTTCTTCTCTTTATTTATTTTTTTATTTTTTATAAGAATAGTTATTTTTATGACATGCTTATCTCTGACTTTATGACACGTTTTTATTTATCTTTGTGACACATTTTTTATCTTATTTTTTTATCATTTAGTCACTCTTTTTATTTTATGTCTTCTTATGATTGGATTTGACAACACCACGACTATACGAGGCGATGCTTATTTTTAATCCAATTGATATGCTCTGTTATGTACCATCGGATTGAATTTGGATACGCGTTTTTACGATCATGAATAATTTTTCACGACGCTCGGCTTTGATTGACAGTTATCAATGATCTTTCAATAGTTTAATCTCCATTTGTAGTTCGTTTGAAGATGCAATCATTTTGCTTGTATCTATTTTTTGTTCGAGTCTTTTGGTTGAATTTTTAACATTTTCCATGTATGTACTTATATGATTTAAAGTGGTTAGTTTCAATATTATAGGAAAATGTTCAAATTATATATTTAGTTAACGATGATAATTATAAATTCTTATTATTATTTTAGACATTTGTGATTTTTTAAAAAGGCTAACGATTTTTATTAAAAAAAAATTAATTTAACCCATAAATTTAACGAAAGATTCCTATCGTCTGTCTTCGTCATCTTGACCGCCAGTCCACCAATATTATTATCACAATTATTATTGTTTATTTTAATTCTTTTTCTTTTTCAGTTCGAAAGATTTTCCCCTTCACATAAAAATATTCATATAAATTTTCTCACTTCTAATCATTCATTCACCAGAAATCTCAAATTCTTGAATACCCATGTGTCTTACTAGTAAAGTGCTTGTCGAATTTTAAAAATTCCAATCACTGCGAAAGAAAGAAAATATCAATTTTAATAATAACAATGTCAAAAAACTATTACTTTTATTTCAATTTATATATATTTACAAATTCGACTTGGTGCATCCGCCCTGATATAACTGATGCGACATTGATACTTGAAGATTCAACGGAAAACATTTTGAAGCTGGGAACGGGAACCAGCATAAAAACAGGACACCATAGTTTGAGGACTGGTAATGAAATTAAGCACCAACTATATGACACATTTATGTAAGGTGTAGGCTAGGGGAAGCAGGCATACGGATTGAATCGGGAGCTACACCCCAAACTCATCAATCAATTAACCCTGCCTTCAAATTATTGAGTCTTGTGACAGAAAAAAGAAACAGATTTTCAATTTTTCTTTTTTCACTGCTTTATAAACTTTGGGGTTGGTACAGTACGGCTTTTATTCTGGTCAGACCATCAGACTCGCTCAATTCGTATGAATAAAGAACCCCCCCCCCAAAAGCATTAAGCCACACACATTTCTACACACCTCTTCCGTTGTGTAAGCATTCAAAGAAAAGAAAAGAAACCCTTTTCTTCTCTCTTCTTCTTCTTCTTCTTCTTTCAAGAACCGCCATTGAAGATGCCTAGACCGTGTCCAAGGTCTTATGTTTGTGAGACGAGAGCTTGGCATAGTGGTGGACACCAACCCATGCGAGGTTCCATCGTTCAAGAAATTTTCAGGTTAGTTTCCCATTTCTTTCATGTATTTAATAATTTAAAGTTGAATTTTTTTAATGTATCTGGTTTTTGTTTAGAGCTGTAAATGTGGTTCATAGCTCTGCAACTAAGAAGAACCTGGAATGGCAAGAGAAGCTCCCTGTTGTTGTTTTAAAAGCTGAAGAAATAATGTATTCCAAAGCCGATTCTGAGGTTAAAAAAAAGTACTTTTTTTCTGCCAAGCCTTGAGCTTTGTGTTTTAATGGTGTTCGTTTTGCGTAGGCTGAGTATATGGACCTTAAGACTCTGTGGGATCGAACAAATGATGCCATTAACACAATCATTAAACGTGAAGAGAGTACTGAAACTGGGGAGCTTCTTCCTCCTTGTATTGAAGGTACTGTCTTTTTGCTTTGCATGATGATTTCATCTGTTAGAATTTGAAGCTAAATGTGTATATATTTGCAAATTGGGGTTCTTTTGTTGCTTGATTGTCTTTGATTATGATCAAAAGTGTTGCTTGATTCTACCTTCTTGTTGGTTTAGCTGCTCTGAATTTGGACTGCACACCGAGAAGAACCTTGAGGAGCCAGCGGAATTGTAATCTGAGGTGTTACCTTTATCCGGGACCTCAAGAGGCCGAAGGCATTGCTCGAGGAAATGTCACAGAGAACTCGCATTGCACGGCTAGTTATTCCGGCATCGCGGAACCGACAACGATGAATGTGACTCATTTGGGGTTTGCATCTGAGAATGGTTCTCTTGCTAGTAATAATCCATGCTTACCTAACTTGTATTCGGTTTTTCCTCTGTTCAATGGAAACCACCTTAGATTCGAAGTGCCGTGGCATGACTTCGGGGTCTTCCCGAAGTCGATTTCTAATGCGGTGGAGCCTGCGAAAACGAGTTACATTCATAACGTCTTGTTTTCCGATGCGGACTCTTCCAATGCTTCTAAGAACCCACATGGATTTTCCTGCGATCTATCTTTGAGGCTGGGGCCTATTTCAACACCTTGCTCGAGTGTTGGAAATGATCAGGCTTGGGAAACAGGGAAAAGTTTATCTTCCTTTCTTTGGGGCAACGGAGATGATCCCTCAAACTCGACCTCAAACGAACGGAGCTTTGAAGGTGAGAACGAAGATACAACATCAAGAAAGCGTAAGACGATATATGGTGGGGCAGCTGATTAGCAACTTCATTTCCGATCGATGCCATCAAAGCTTCCCTATGGTCATTTGACCGGAAGAATGAAAAGTGGAGGATCCTAGACTTCCCCTTAAATACTGCACCTTAAAGACGATGCATGTAGGCTATTGCTGCCTGTAAAACTATATATATATATACGACCATATGGTAAGCTATTCCCTGTATGATAAGATGATGTCAATTGCCCGCGTAAATCGGTAAAGCAAAATTGGTGGATTTTTGTACCGTATGCTCACAGTTATGAAAAACCAAAGTGCCTTCCAACAACTCTCATTCTTAACTTGTTTGGAATTAATTTGAAGGTTTTATAATTAGCTTGTTATAAGGTGCCTTGTCTTCAAAGCCAAGCAAGAAGTGTTGAAGACGGTTTAATTCTGCCTCCAGTCCTTGTACTCTTTAGACTTTCAAAATTTAGACTATCTACTTCTAATTTCCAGGAATTTATCTATCAACTTTGAAATTGATAACACTGTTGATAAACTTCTGTAAAGAAATTTAGACCAAAATATTATCAATGAGACTTTAATTATTAATATAGGCAATTAGAGAGGCTAAATTCTCATAATTAGACCTTTGAAGAAATATAGGTTAAATTGTGAATTTCTTCCTCTATTTCACAATACTTGAGAAATTAATCTTAATTGGTCAAAATCTTTGTTAATTCTATACGTATATATATTGTAAAAAAATATTTTTAGTCCATTCAAATTTAATAATAATACACGACTAGATTTTTTTTATAGGGTACAAATTCAAATCCAAATAAATTGAAGTTGATGGTTAATTTTTTTTTTATTATTAATCCGAGATGATTTATAAGATAATATATGTTCATAATTTCTTTAACTTATTTACAATGTATAAATATTGTTAACACAGAGTTACTCAAATTTAAAACTTTTATGAAGAACGATATTATTTTTTTACAACTAAGATCATTTGATGGATAAATATTGTAATTTTTTTATTATAATTATTAATGATTAGGAAATATGATCCATTGATGGTATTGGTACTATTGCCAACCATGTGCATTAAAAGCATGTAATATATGACCACATGGGATGGGTTCCATGTTTCAACCGATAACCATCAATCTAACATGGGTCTGGTTTTCCCTCTGTAAAGATATGCCGCCGCCGTGACTGGCTCTCTCTTTGCCGGCAGCCTGCTGTCTCTTCGCTGTTCACGCGGCATGACTTCTGCCTTGTTATTAGCCAGCTCTCCCTAATGCCATTACTTTAAGAAAAGAAAGAATAATATTATACTCTATCATCCAACTACAACTTTTATTACAGGAAAGATTAGGGATGGTATCATGGCAATGAGTTGGATCATGCCAGATTTTTAATCCACTTAAATTTGATTCAAAAATTACAATCATTAAATATATAAAAATATAATATTATATTATATTGATCTTCTTCGCCTTAAATATAAATTCGATATTAATATTAAAAGTTTTAAAATAAATCTTAATTTTTAAAATAAAATTAATTTAATCGAGTCAAATCAAGGAAGAGATTTAGCCTTCAATCAAATCATATTAATTAAATTACTTGATAATTATAAAATTAATAGTATTAATTAAATTAATATTCAAGCAATAAATATATAATAATTTAAAATATTAAGACAAAGAAAAAATAACTTGACTTTTGTATAGTCTTTCCTATGAAAATTAGGTAACCTAAAAAGCACAAAAATATAATTTAAATGAAAATTATATATTTTATTGGATAAAAGAATCAATGAATTAGGCAACAGCTGACTATACAAATGGAGAATGAATTTACTCAATAAAACTCCCAGAATCGATGGAAGTAAAATAAAAAATAATATTTCACAAATAAAATCATTTCATGTTTAATTCTATTAAGTCCCCCAAAAAAAGATTAATGTTGTGCTAAAGAATCAATCATGAAACGTGGTTTCTTTGTCGGCAATGGACTCTCAACCTCTTGTTCTGTAAATCTTCCATCTCTGTTTTCCACGCCCAACTCCGGCAAAGCGGGCAAGTTCAGGTCAAAGGCGAATTCGACTTGATTGGTTTGGCTCAGCGCGCCACCTTCCGACACCGTCACTCCGCTGAGGCTGACGCTACCACTCTTGTTACTGTTGCTGTTTCCGCCTTCATAGTGGCGGCGTTTGTGGCCTCCCAAGGCTTGGCCTGTAGGGAAAGCCTTATGACAGATAGAACACGTATGTGCTCTACCGTTACCTCCAGTTTCGCCGCTGGTGGTGGTGGTGCTGGGGATAGATCGATTATCAGCAGCTCCGTCGGTGGAAGGTTTGCGGTGGCTGGCTTTATGACCACCCAGAGCCTGGTAAGATGGGAAAGCCTTGTCGCAAACACTGCACTTGTAAGACAACTTCAAACCCGGCGGAGCAGCTCTCGCTTCCGACGAAGGCGAAGATATGCAGCAATCAGAAGCGTTGTTTCCACGAGCTAGCATGATGAGACAGAGAGCAAGGTATTCCTCCTCAGTCGTCAGCGGTGGTGGAGAAGATTCGTTATCGCGTTGTCGCTTTGAGCGCTTGCCTTTCTTCCAGGACTCTACCTGATTGCTGTTGCCGTCGTCGTGAATAACTTCTTCGTACTTGTTAGTGGGGAAAGGGGTGGCGGCCATGGGAGGAGAACTCGGAGCTTCAAGAGTCATGATATTCAAGAAAGTTTAGAGAAAGTGAGATAATTAAATTTGGGGAGTGAGAGGGAATTATATAGAATTTTACAGTGAAGTCGGTCAACGACGAGGAAGAAAGGTGTGTGTGAAGACTCAGCCTTCTTTTCACAGATTATATATGACTTGTTCCAAGTCAAAACATCTTCTTATCACTTTACTACTGCTATTTTACCAACTTTTTTATTATTAATTACAATAAATTTCTTTTGAAGTCCCTGTATTTCATATTATTTTTCTAATTTAGTCCCTAATACGGAAGTTGTCAACTTTTTTCCGACTTAAATTCTTCATGTAATAAAAACTGAATTATGCTTTTGGTCCTTTTAAAATGCCCATTTTTGAACTTAGCTCCTGTATTTTAATTTATAGGTAAATAATTTTATCTTAGATTACTCGTTGTCGACAGTCACGTGTGTTTTGATTATATCTAAAGTGATCACTCATAAAGGGAAATTTTTTTTCTTCAATATTATCTTTTCACCTACATGACTTGAACTTAAAATTTTATTTGATAGGCAACACAACAAGTATTAATAATTCTTTTATTATAACAATCAATTAAGTTGTGACATGTATAATTTAATAAATTAATATTATATTAATCAAAATAACAATCAATCAAATTATGACACGTATAATTTAATAAAATTAATATTATATTAATAATTTGATTGATTGTTAAAATATTAAATTAACACATATATAAGTTAAATTAATATTATATTAAATTTTAAATATGAAATTGATATGGGAAAAAAGTTAAATACCAAACTAGGAGAAAGTGGTAAGTTTATATGGTAATGTGTATATTAAACCTGGTTTTTTCTTAGCTGTTGAACGCGCGTTTGGTTGTTGATTGCTTGTGTTCTAGAAAGACAGCTAATTCCTTTAGAATCATCCATTGTTTGGGCACGTGTTCAACTCTAATACCCGACCATTATCCACCCTTCCTCCTTGCTTTCTCTAAAATCAACAAATTTCCATTGGTTGGTGAAATAAATATTGTTAAATTATATTGTTTAAATTAATAAAGTGGTTATTTTTAAAATTAAAATTCATATTTCAAAAAGTAAAGCTTTAATAGTGAACAAATCATAATAGAATTAAATCTGTTAAATAACCAACCAATGAATCTTAGATGTGATGGTAAAATAAATTAAGTGTCTAACAAATAAATTTATATTCAAATAATAAAAATAATATCATAAAAAAAATCGATTTTAAATATCATTAAACGAACATAGAGATTTGTATTTGAAAAAAGCACAGAGGGTATTTATGTACATTCTTTACGGAGTGGAGCTCAGTAGAGTGAAGTAATAGAAGTGTATAACGATGTGTAGAAATTGTAGCTTGTGCGAAACCATCAAGGCATACGGCACGTCACCCGCAATTCGATCAGCATTACTCACACGTGGCGCTTTGCGGATCCCTTTTGAACCACTTTCACAGGTAATGACATAACCGACAAGTAAGCTTTGATATTATCCACATCAAAAGACGTCTGTTTGTTGGGGGTCTCCACTAGCACGTCACGTGGATCACTCATTCAGTCATTGTTATCGTACCACGTGTCGGTTTATCTCTAGACACGTTGGAGAATCCTAGTGGAAGTAAGGCATGTTAATCTAGAATGTATGTCTCGTTTGGGTGGGTTAACGTGCGAGTGTTTGGCTGTGATGACTGGTAGGGTGATCTTATCAATGACCTGTGAACTGTGAAAGTTTCATTTCATGACCGTTTAGAAGCATTAGTTATTTAAGAAGATGCTCCTTCATTTGGATTTCCATATAAGAAGAAGTCATTCAACAAGAAAAATATTGTTGCACTTACATCCTTAAATGGCGAGTTTGAAAACAAATAAGATGAAGATGAATTATTAAATTATTTAATTGTTAATGAATTATTAAATTATTTTGAATTATTAAATTATAATAACAAACTATTATTAAATTATCGATAAATTAATTAATTTTAATATTGAAGATTTACTGAATTATGACCAATTTGATGGCTGAATAAGTTTGGGGATTAAAATTGTTAGAGTTAATTTTATCATATGTCCCCAAGCTATAGCTCTTATTTTAGATTGGTCATTAAACTTTTGAATATTTCAATTTCATCCCCAAACTATGACTCTCATTCTAAATTAGTCCTTAAACTTTTGAACATTTTAATTTCATCCCTAAACTATGACTCTCTTTCTAAATTGGTCCCCAAACTTTTAAATATTCCAATTACATCCCCAAATTCATCCAAATGTGTAATTAGTTTCGACCATAGTTTAACCTAAATTTTTTTTTTCAAACATATAATAATATAACCTGGCTTAACGATTTTATTAACAAGGTATGTGATTAGTACATGTGTGTAGTTTGAGATGAAGTTGGAATGTTAAAAAAGGTTAAGGATCAATTTAGAATGAAGGTCATAGTTTAGGGATGAAAATGAAATGTTTAAGAGTTTGAGAACAAATTTAGAATGACGGTCATAGTTTAGGGATAAAATTGAAACACTTAAAAATTTAGAGATTAATTTAAAATAAATACCATACTTTGAGGACATATGATGCAATTAACTCAAATTGTTACTATACTACGTCTCATCATCATTTATGTAAAGTCAATGAGAGAACTTAACAACGAGTGACCAAAATAAAATGAAACATAATGTTTCTTTTAATAAATATGAGGTGAATACAAAGTAGTATCTGTTAAAAGACTCTCAATCCTTTGACAATAAATACTTATTCCCCTGCATACATAATGTTCGAATTCAAAATCTCCATAGATAACAACAAATCTCTTAACCACTAAGATCTCTTGGTTCATGATATAATTTAAAAAAATGGTTAAATAATATGTTTGACACCTACCTATTATTTAGTTTCTGTTTTGCCTACTCAACTATTATGTTTTTAAATTATACCTAATGTTACATTTTGATTCTGTTTTGATTACTCACTGTTAAATATATTAACATTGATGTTGACGTAGTATTTTTTTATTTTTTATAGTGACACGTCAATATCAATTATCACCGTCAAATTTTTAATGGTAAGTGACTAAAATAAAATCAAAACATAATGTTATGCATAATTGTAAAAATAATAATAATTAAATAACCAAAAAAGAACCTAAGTAACATGTGAGTGACCAAATAGTTAGTTTACCCTAGAAGTTAATATATTATAAAAAAAATGGGGATCTGATAATTTGAATCGGCAAATATCGAAAGTCGAAGAAGGATTTTGTTTCTGTGCAAAGAGAGTCGTCAACTCACTGAAAATCGTCACTTTTTTCTTGTTAATTTGGAATGTTTTGCTATATTCGTCATCTATTTCTTTTACGTTTTCTCCGGTCTTCTTTTTATTTATTCAATTTCTATAATCTGAAGCTTTGTACGAAGCGTGATCGAACTCAAAGTGATCGATCTCTTTCTTGCTCACTGCTCTATGCAATGGTGGTCTGCAAATGACGTAAGGTACCATTTTTTTAAATATTAATTTGACTCTATTTCTCGATCTTTTGGTAAGTTTACTGGCACTCACTACTCATAGCTACAATTCTTCGCATCAATATATATATATATATATATATTAATTTGCTTTTTTTTACAAATTTGTATTGGAATTTGTAATTCATCGCTGGGTTTTTATCTTTTAGGTATCTATCGTTTCTTTTTTTTTCGTGAATTTACGACTTTGCAGATATTTGTTGTCTTAATTTAAGGTTTATTAATTTGAAAATTGCGAATAATAAATGAATATTGGAGAGGACATTGACCTTTATATTTGGAGGTTCAAATGTAACGTATTGTAGCTCTATGCGTTACGAATTTAGTTCAGATTACACGAGAAAATTTGTAGAGCTGATCAGCTGATTTTGGTTGGATCAAGATTCATAAATGTTTATTTGTGTAAGCCTCTAATTTTTATTTTTTTGGTGTTTCAGGGGACAAAATTATATTGTTTCGTGCACAAGGTCCCCGTTTGTGGGGAATGCATCTGCTTTCCTGAGCACCAAATATGCATCGTAAGTTTATAAATTCTTCTTACATTGGACACAATACTTACAAGCATTTTGATTTGATTTGGACGAGGTGCGGTTAAACTGCATTGACATCTGATTGATGCACAACTCTTTTTTTATTTGATAAGTTGGAATTGCTTAAAAAAAATACTTAATTTATGATTCATCAGTGCATTCATTTCTCTAATTATATTCAATATCTTGAAAAAGCTTATTTATGCATGTTGTATTTTAGAGTTATAAAAGGATTATGAGTGGAGGTGTCGTATAGAACTTTGTTTTGAGGCTTATAATGATTTCATTCCCCTTTGTTCTAGATACGTACTTACTCAGAGTGGGTAATAGATGGAGAGTATGACTGGCCTCCCAAATGTTGCAAATGCCAAGCTGTGCTTGAGGAAGGGGATGGCTCTGTAACCACTCGGTTGGGTTGCTTACGTATGTGTTTATGCCTGATGTAGATGCTAGATACTGCCTTTTCTTTAGCATGTTAAACTTGTGCTGTATGATCTTACAGTTTTTATTTGCTACTTTAGATGTCATACAGACAAATTGCTTGGTTTCACATGTCAAAAGTTTTCCTCCGCACACTGCACCTGCTCGATATGCATGTCCTTCATGTTCAACATCTGTAAGTTCTCAAAAACCTCTTTATTTTCAGCATGAATCATATCTTTCAATGTTCATGATCGATAGGGATGATTAACAGTAATAAAACTACTGCCATAACCATACTGCTCTAAAGTTTGGAACCTCTCATTTAAGTAGTTCTTTTTTTTTGGGGATAAGTAATTTATTTATCCAAAAGAGAGCAAAATTTTGCAAGATATTACAACTTTACAGTTGAAGTTGATGTTGAAGTTGATGTTGGTCTCTCATTTATGTTGTAAATGGAAAAAAACTCCTCTGCTGATTGGCATGTTTCTGAATTCTGATATTCCAGTAACTTCATTTGTTTGAATTCTTTCAATGGGCTTGACAAATGCAGAGGATAGAGGTTAGCAAATTGAACATGTAATTAGCATTTCTCTAATGTGGGAGGAATTTGTATGATTTTTATTCAAGACCGTATGATTTTCTTTTGGCATTTGTCAATTGTTCACTTTTATGCTTGTATTGCAGCAGTTATGTGAAATGGTCTTGGTTATTTGTGCTTTGGCTTGTCTCATTTTGCTATTATTTTCCCAGATATGGCCTCCCAAGAGTGTTAAAGATTCAGCATCTCGTCTTCATTCACTGCTGAAGGAGGCTATTATGCAGGTGAATTCATGTTTGATTTGGGCTGTTACAAACAATGGCTCCTCATTCTGAATGTAAAATGAACTTTGGGTTTTCATTTTTACTTTTTTGTTTTCAATATTTTGGTTATCAAACTATTCTTCCACTTTTCCTTAAGTACACCTTTGCTTCTTTGTCATATTTGCCCATGGGTGCTTTGGAGTCCTACTCTTGCCACTTGCCAGTTGTAAATTGTCATTCAGTTGTTATCCTTTTCAGCATGTGCTATTCAAGCTTGAATTCTCCTTTCAAGGGTTGGCATTAAAGTTGTGGGATTAAACTATTCCCTGGTAGAGGTTTCTGAGATGGACGGCATTTATTCTGCTAGGACAGTTTGACCTGTCGAATTCATTATTCAGCATTCAGCTGAACCAACTACTTCCAATGAATGTTATTGTAAAATTTTGGCCATGCATGTTTGCTATGGCCAAACCTGTTCTTTCCTTGTTCACTAAGAGTATTGAACTGCAGGAAAGTTACTAAAATCTCATTTCCTAAGCTATTTCAAGCTTCTAAAAATTCAACTTTAGATACTAGAATGTCGTAGATCCCAGTTTTGGGGTGCCTGCTCAATCTTCTAATGTTTCAAACTGCTGAAGATCATCTGTTGCCTCTGAAATTAACCTATGAATACGTCTGAATCATCTGCAAGTAGCTGTGAAAGAAAAGTGAATTGGTTTGATTGGAGTTTTGGCATTCCCTATTGCAGATTTTTATTGTAGTCCCCATTTTAGGATGAATGGAGCGTGGATTCTTATCATATTGTGCATAAATAAAATTTAAATGACTTGACTTGATATTGCACAGACTGGCATGGAGAAAACTTTGTTTGGAAATCATCCTGTTTCTTTGCCTATAACAGAACCCCGTGGTCCTCCACCTGCATTTGCTTCAGATCCATTGATAAATGTAACCGGAGGAATAGAGTATGATGGGAATTCATCACCCTCTGTTGTAAATGATGAAGGATACTCGGCTGCTGCAGGACCTTCGAACCTTGCAGTAACAGAAATAATGGAGATTGATGGTCCTAATTCAGCTGGGAATTACATTAAAGCTTCGAGTTCTGTTGCCGTAAGTCTCTTTTATTAATTATTGGATGTGTATGGACTTCTTCAAATCATTTTATGCTTTGTTTTGCTTGTTTGCATGCGTCAATTCCAGTATGTTGGTTGTTTGCTTTCTTATCTCGGGTGTTTTATTCTATGTTGCAATACAACCCAGCCTGTGGCTACAACATGAAAGAGTACAGTTCGTGTTGATCAGCAAAACTCTGAACTCTCGTATTATGCAGATGATGAAGATGGAAATCGTAAAAAGTATTCTCGTAGGGGTGAGTTAAAAACCCTTGGTTCATGAAGTCAGTCTCCTCTCTTATTGATTACAACCTTTCCAATTTGTTCTTGCTGTGGCCTAATACTTCTGGTCTGACTTTTTCTTATGTATCTATCCAAGGTGGTTTAAATCTAGAAAATAGAGATGTATGCCTAAATCATATGAACCATTGTATTCATAAATTCTTTTTGTAGGTCCACTTTATCTTAAGTTTCTCAGAGCATTAATTCCCTTCTGGTCAAGTGCATTACCAACTCTCCCAGTGACTGCACCTCCGCATAAAGACTCACCAAATGCAGATGGCGGCCGAGAAGGTCGTATGAAGCACCAACGATCAACACGGATGGATCAGAGAAAAATCCTTCTTGTCATAGCAATCATGTAAGTCTGCACCACCTTTCCCCCCCCCCCCCCTCTATATGAATATCCAATGCCATGCTAACCAACCTACACGTGCACACATTGATGGATCTTTCTCTTGTGCACTCGTTTACCCATTTTTTTTTTCTAAGCATTCATCTTTCTTTTCATGCAAGCATCTGTGCTCGGAGTCGGGATTTGTGGGTGCCGCAACTGATATCCGATTGAAATAATATGCAAGATCAAATACACGTAAAGGAATTTTTTTTCTATTTACACCATGTATAACAAATTATGTTGTGCAGGGCCTGCATGGCTACTATGGGTATTCTCTACTACAGAATTTCACAAAGGGCTCTGGGCGAGGATGTCGCCGATGAGGAGCAGCTGTAACCAATTCACATGCTTCTGCAAATCCTGTTGGTTACTGCCATGGTTGCCATTTTCTCTGCTCATCGTCTCCCCTCGGTCACAATATCCGAAGAAGAGCATCAGTGGAAGAAAAACAAGTAAGATTACGGAGAAATTTATTACCCATAATCTTTCGACCTCTTTTCCTATGTGTTGGCATCTAAACCCTGATTGAGAGATATAAGAGAGTGATTGTATATCTGAAAATTTTAAATTCTTATATAATTCATATATTTTTATAATTTTTATTTATAATCTAATTCTGTATTTCCTAAAATTTTATAATTTTATACTCATAAAATTTTATAACTTTTTAAAAATTCACCCTTAATATAAACTTATGCATTTGTCCTTGTCGACATGAAAAACCATTGTTTTACATGTTATTTGTATTGTATCATGAGCGAGGAGAGTACATTGCAATAAACTAGTAATTAGATATAAGAGAATGAAGTTTAGAATTATATGGTACTTTAATTTTGATAATTAATCCTTAATTATATATTTAGACTATACGTAACTATCATCGTCTTCCATGCAAGCTTTTCACTAATATTCCTCTTTAAAAAATACAAGATAAAGAATAGGGTCAAGGTTGAGAAATATTAATTAATTTCTTTATTAAAATTATTTATTTATTTCGATTAATATGAGATAAGTATAAGATAATATATATTCAACTGTAGTTCTCAACCATTTGTCATTAAAAATTCACATTTTTGACGTTCATGGTACTTGAACTCGAAACTTAAAAAAATAGTTATTTTATAACCGAGGTCGTTTGATTTATGCTTAAATATCTTTTATTTAAATACTAATATATAGTTTACGCGTAGGGTTGAGAAACTAATAACTTTTTTCTCTATTAAAATTACAATATCATTTATTTTTTGGCCTAATAATATCTTTTTCCAAATATTAATATATAGTTTACGAGTAGGATTGAGAAACTCTTAATTTATTTCCTTTTTATTGCTATATTAACATTTAAAGTAAACAAGAATCAAAGGATTTCTTTTACAAGTTTATTTATTTATTTCATAAGTTAGATTAAGAAATAGTAAAATGTCTTTGGTTAATATTTCAAAATATAAAAACTAAATAATGAGATATACGTCGATTCCTTAATTAATTCCATTTGTATAATTTTTAATTTTTAAAAAATAAAAACTAAATAATAATAATAATTTTCTCTATGTTCATATCATAATTTAAATATTAATAGAATTCAAATTAAAACTGTGAACATAATATTTGCGCATGTCATTATATTTTATTTAGCATACAAATTCCATGAGAAACAAGTACAGCCTGGAGATATACCAACATGCGGTATTAGAGTAAAGTATTATAACGTTTATCTGTAATCATTAATTTAATTATTAATTTAACTCTAAAAACTGATGATTAATGAGATAAGATTGATATTATTAATATAATTATGCTAACAAAAAAGAAATTGTCATCTGGAAACAGAGGTTTAAGACCCAAATAAAAAAAAAACCCGACATGACCTGGCAATGAACCAAGGAAAAAAGTAAAGGTATAATTTGAATTGCAATCCCTGTACTTTATATAAATTAAGAAATTAATCTAATTAGATAACATTGATAAACCCGATTATTAAACCGCTCAGTCGAAAAGCTAGGGGGCTGGTAGAGGCCTTGATTCCCCTAAAATGATGAAAATGTATACAAGTCTTTCTGTTATAGGTTAATACGTTGTAAAATAACACTTCGGTCCCCTAATACAATGATAAACTTGTATTTTGGTTCTGAAAAAAATTATAATTCAATTTCGTCCTTAAAAAAAGTTCCCCCCTAAGATCGTTGACTTGATTAATCAGTTTCGTTTAAGTTTTTTACAATTTTTCTCACTGAATTAAAAAAAAAACATAATATTTAGTTACTTTTGTTTTTATTTAATCAAGATATGGTCACTAAGGGTTAATTATCGTTAGACCTTCAACGGATTGCTGGAGTGACGCGATGAATTTATAAAATTTAAAAGGTAAAAACTACACAAAAGGTCACCAATGTTTGAGTAAGTTTTCGTTTTCCCACTAAAGTTTCAAAAGTAATAAAATGGTCACTAAAACATCAAATAGGTCATTGAACAATGATTTTATATCTAATTTACCCCAAAACTTTCTAATTTTTCCAATTTTTCTAATTTTTATATATATACTTTTTAAATTTTAAAAAAAAACTTAGAAATTAACTTTTTCGGACATGAAACAATCGAATATTTTGAATGATAAACAAAAAATTAAAAGCTTTTTGGGTAAATTAGATATAAAATCGTTGTTCAAGAACCTATTTGATGTTTTAGTGACCAATTTATTACTTTTGAAACTTTAGTGTGGAAAATAAAAACTTACCCAAACATTAGTAACCATTTGTGTAGTTTACTCATTACTCATTTTAACTAACAACAATTCGTTAAAAGTCTAACGACAATTGACCCTCAGTGACCACATCTTAATTACATTAAAACGAAAGTGATCAAATCTTAATTAAATAAAAACGAAAACGACCAAATATAATGGTTTTTGAATTCAGTGAGAAAAAGTGGTCCGCTAACCTTTTTGTCCTAAAATGAAACGTCAAATCATTAGTTGTATTTTTTTATCATTTGAAATTGTAAAAATAAATTAAAAGAATCAAATCATCTTAAACATTGTCTTTTTGAATGGAATTAATATTAATCTTAACTTGGTTAATCTTCAACTTCATGCAAAAACAAAATCAAATTCTTTTTAGCAATCTAATTCCAACAAATATATGGAATCTTAAGTTTGAAAAAAAAAAAACAAGACACTTGTCAGTAAAGAAGACAAAGTATCCCAACATGAGATAACAATGTCTGGTTTGAGAATTTCAGCTGCCAATATACTCATCTCCACGATCTTGGCCGACCCTTTTCCTCAGCTGTCGTTTTCATTCTCTTCGTCAACACATACTCTGTTTCTTTATTTTATGTTTATGATATTTTTCAAGCTAAGACCTCCCCACGTCTACCCATTGCCAGGTCTGATTCTCTTTCCTTTCCCCTATTCACCATAAATTTTTTAAATAAATCTAAACGAAATTTGGGTCATAAAATCTAACATTTTCTTTATAAACACCTTTCTAACTTGGATATTTACTATGAAAGCGATATTTATTATGAAAAAACCACTTATGTTATTTGTTTCGCTTAACTGATGACATTTATAAAAGTTAATGATCAAATTAAAGTACATGAACTAGATTTCAAATTACAGTATAATAAAGGATTAAGAGTTTCCAACAAGATGATTTTACTTTTTTTTTAAATTTTATATAAATAGGTGATCTTGATAGATTAAATATTATTATAAAAAAATTAAGATTAAAGCAGTAGAATCATGGACAAAATATTAGTCATGTGACAATGTCACATCAATTATCATTAATGACAGATAATAACAGTGACCAAAATAAAAATTAACTAAACTTTCAATGACTCCAATGCAAGTTTTAAAAGTTTAATGATTAAAATCCAACTTACCCAAAAGTTTAAGTACCATTAATATAGTTTACCCTAAATATTATTAAATTTCATTACGTTTACAAAGAATTGCACTAGTTATCAGCAGTGAATATTCACAATAATAGAAGGGAGCAGGCAATCACAAAACAATGATTGTAATACTGCTATATACAAAACTAGCCTAAGATAATATAAAAAGAATACATAGAGGAGAGGACTACAATTTCTGACCACTCTTCTTGGCGAAGAACGATTCAATTGGCAGATGCTTGACTTTTGCTGGAGATGGCTTATGCTTCTTACGCCTATTTTGGTTCCCAACATATTCCTTTGGCATAACTCTACATGTATAACAAGTAGATGAAAAAACCATTAGCAAATCACCAAAGGGAATATGTCCCAGTACAATAAGGACCTCGCGTTACATGTTTCGTTGTGCGATTTTGAATAACATAACCATGGCGTTATATAAACGTCAAATCTTAACCCTCACGACATGCATCGATATTAAGTGAAGAGGAGAAAAAGAGAATCAACATGGTTGCAGGCTGAGAATTTTAGTCACATTCTGCAATGATGGTTGCTGATTTAAATCATCAAATAAGAGCTATTTACTATAATACCACTTTAAAAATTGCAGTACCTTTGCCTTGGAATCAAAGCATTTGAGCCTGTACCAGATTCCTCCTCCTGAAGCCGCTCGGCAAGATGAAAATCAGAGTGCTCTTGTCTTTCTTCAATAAAACTTGAAGGTAATTCAGTCCCACACAATGAACACTTGTAGTCATCCACCCAAAATAACTTGTGGTCATCCTCATTTCCAGAGGCACTAGATTCTTTGTTTGATCTGTCAGTATTGCTGTCCTCCGACTCCCTCTGGACAGAAGAATCATCTTCCGACACTCGTGATAATTCTTTTTTAGGAGATTTTGCGCTACGCTCTTCCACATCATCAGTCTTCACCTAGGGAAATAGACATATTATACAACCAACACTTGGATCAAGTATTGTGACTAATTGAAGATCTAGTCTAGTTAAATAATTGGTATACAAACTTCAACAAGTACCGTAGCTGCAGTTTTGTGGCTAAAAAGTTCACCAGTTTTGTCCATTTCACAAGCATTTTCGTAGGAAATGCAATTGCTGTCATCTATATCTAATAAATGATTTCTCTCAAATGGAGCTCCAAACTCATAGTGACCCGTCCTGTGGCTGTCAAGAGAAATGCTAGTTTCCTTTTCATTCATGAAATGGAGATCACTCAAATCCGAACCAAAGGAGCTTTGATCATCCCCAGTTCTTTTAGGATAATCTCCGAATATTAAAAATTTGGTGAGAGTTTTTTGTGTAGGGTCAACAGGTATATCCCCCTTATCTACATTGAAATGAGACACCCGCAGACCTAACAGCAAAGAACACAAATGCGCTGTTATATTCTAAAGCCTAGAACACACAGACAAAAAGTCTACCCATATTTTCTTTCCTGCTCCATAGCCATGAAATAGACAAAAGGCAACAAATTAAAGTTTACCTATCAGTCTCAAAGAAATAGGGAATTCAGCCTTTAACAAGTTTGAAGCATGTTTTAAGATGTCATCACTCGAACAAATATATTTCTGCAAAGTGACAGCCCTTGAACGAACCTGAAACGAAAAAGGGAAGGCCCTAATATGATATGAGGAAATAAAACCAATAATGGATAACAAGTCATCAAGTTTAAGTTGCCGAAAGATAAAAGAATCTAAAACCAGCATTGGCCCATTTCAAATATATAACCAATCATTCCTTTACATTTTGCCCTTACTATTGAGCATAAAAGGAAGGAAAAGGAATAAGGTATAGGCTTCATGATTGTACCTCAAAAGATGCAGTTTTTAATTTAAGAGTCAAAGTTCGTCCAGAAAGACCCTCTTTCTGCATGTCAGCTGACAGCATCTCTGAAATATCAGCTGCAATACAAAGAGAACAAAGCTAACTGCTGAAATAAATGATTAGTCAATTTTGAAGCCAATACCATCTACATTAGAAGAGTTTTTCAAAATATCCCAAGACAGAGTCCAGAGAGGTGCATTATGTAATCCATCTTAACAATCTTATCAAAATGCTACTGCTAAAAAATTGATACTGATTCCTCCAATAAACTATTATTATAATCTGCTGAAGCTCAACAGTTCAAAAATCATTTTCAACTTTAAGGAAGTACTAAATACATGATCATGAAAACCAAAACAGAAAAGAAACCAGCAATCTCTGGATTCAAAGGAGACAAAAGAAGAAAAAAAGATGTGCCTGTTTACCTAATTTCTGATAAAGCAATGCAGCATCCTCTGTTGCTGAAAATGTTCTCTCGCTGCTAATACTTTTTCGAAACCTGGCCTCAGGAGTATCCGTCCCTCCAAGCCCCAATCCAACAGATAGGAAAAAATCTAAAATCATTAGCAAAAAGGGTCAGAATCCCATGAAAATCATCCCCATTACCTCTGTATGCATGAACATATGTTTACTTAGATGGACACTTTACCCTCTTGATTATTAATAATTTATAATTAATTCAAGAACTTAGAAACATCATGCTCACTAATATTTAGATTAATTATAACAGAACTCCATATTAATTACACCTGATGATTATAACAAAATCACTTCAAATCAAGCATCTATCAGAAAAGGTGATGGTAATATGTACTATGACTGCCTAATGATACAGTCATATTCATACAGACAGCTCTAATTAAAACTGAACCTCAACTGGACTCACTAGGTTTTGGCATGTTGATCTTGATCCAGTAAACTGTAGCAATAAGACAATGCAGGAGGATTATCCCCATTTCCAACCATATGTGCAGTTCCATACAATTTCCTATCATAATCACTCATTTTTTAACAGGAGAGACACCTTATTATTATGCTAACCTGCTGAAGAACGAGAAAATAGGGCACAGAGGAAACTGCCTTTCTGCAGCATCTCTTTACAAGTGCTGATTCCATGAACACCCTTTAAAATATTTTCCGTGACCTTGCCTATACCCCCAATCTGCAAACCCAGTTTTTTCAATGTCCAGTTGTATCAGATAGACATCATGAACAGATCAGAAATAAAAATTCTGAAACAAGAGTTCAAGATTGGCCAATCAATGAATACCTTTCGAATAGGAAGCGAGGATATAAATGTCATAACAGCCATGCGGTCATTGGGTAAAACAAACTGCCCATTTGGCTTGTTAATATCTGAGCAAACCTGTGTGTTGGGAGGGGGGATACAATACAATCAGAATGGGCAATAAAGAAAGGTGTAACAACTAGCTGTAACAATAATATGAAATGTCCTGCTAGATTGCTTTGCTTTTGATTATTTGATTAGCAAGAAGAAACTTTGACAAGCAAATTGAATTTGAAATATTATGTATGCCAATAAATAAAATCCAAACAAGTCGACAGTCAACAACAAAGAATTGTCCTGTCTCTATTCTCTATCCAACATCACTGATGAATGCAACAACTTGAAGAAACAACTTCCAATGGGAAATTTTAGAATTTTCTGCATGATATGCAATATTCCAATTTTGGTTTGACAATGTAACAATAGCAAAAATTATTGTGTTGACAATTTGAAAATGCAACTTGCCAACAGCAACGGTTTGCCAAGAACACACAAGACAACCTTAGCAAGTAAGCGATTTGGAGCCACTCCCGCACTACATGTCAAACCAGTCTCTTCATGTACTCTAGATCTGAGTTCTTCAGCAATCTAAACATATAGGAGGACAGGATCAGCTTAAAAGCCAGTCACTTAAACAGTCAGAAAAACTAATTCAAACTTACTTCTTCACCAGTAATGCCTCTTTCTTTGCAAACCCTAGTAATATCAAGGTAAGCTTCATCCAAACTGGCAGCCAAGAAATTAGGATCATAGTTCCGAAAAACTAACATGGAGAAACATGTGCAATATAAAATATCAGCAAACCAAAACCCCAATATGCATCAAGAACTCTGTTAAAAGCAAAATATCTAACCTTCTCTAGTTAAACCACTGTAATAAGTATATTTATTGAAATCTGTGGGAACAAATATCAAGTTCGGACATAATTTACGTGCAATGAATCCAGGCATAGCAGCACGAACACCAAATTTGCGAGCCTACAGAGTGAATGAAACTTAGCAAGAGTAATTTTACCAGCAACAAATCAGATTTTAACAAGTTAATCGTGTAAAGCGATTTAGACCTCATAGTTAGCAGTGGAAAGCATAGACATACTACCAACAGCCATTGGTTTACCCTTCAATGAAGGATTGCTCAAAGTTTCAACGGCCGCATAAAATGCATCCATATCTACATGTAGCCAAATCCTAGAAAGCTCACGTGTAGCTTCAAGCTCTAATATTCTCTTCTCCGCAACCTAAGAAAACAGCAAATCATTTATCTACCTAAACATAATTTCCAAATTTCGCAATTTGTATAAATAGATTACAAGAAAGGTAGAACTTAAAAGAACCTTTTGATAATGAGATAAATCTGCGGCGGAGAGCTTCGCAGCACGAACTCGCATATGCTCTATTTTTTGCCGAATGAAGGCCTCTTTTCGCTCCTCATTTTCGAAGTATTTCGATCCTTTGCTCATCTCATACACTACTCTTTGGACTTTCTCTTTATCAACTCCTTCCATTCCTAAAATTTTAAAATAATAATAATTCAACTAACAGTCATCAGATCTTCAAAATTTATCCGTTAATGAAAGAAAAATTCGAGGTGAGTTAACAAATTAAATGACATATTGACATTGAAAAATACCTATAAATCGAACAACAGAGAAAGCGAGAAGCGATTTGATGATAGATCGGAACTTAAGAAAAGAGAAGATGTTAGTAAATTACCTGCTTTGGCGTTGGTGTAAACAGTGTGATAAGATTGCCATGGCCGCTGCTTATCGCTCGCACTTTCGCTACCTTCCATGGCTTGCTGGAGAAGGGAGAGAGGACTCGGAGGGAAGAGCCTTTTGGGAAATAGAGCGCCAAAATGTGTAAAAATGGGAAAATAATATAAATGGAGTAAAAATTAAAAGGGGGTAAAGGTATTTTGGAATACCTCTTATTTTTTGTTATGCTTCTTTCTCTTTGTTCTCTTCTTCTCTCTCACCAGCCCTCGAACCAAGGTCATGTGGTTTGTGCGTTCTGACCGAAGCACACCAAAGCCAACAAGCCGGAACAAGGGCCGGTGCCCCTTTTGGCTCGTTAATTATATAAATAACTTTATTTGTTTTCTAACAAATCAGTTTTTTTTCTCTTACGAAGTTTAAAATACTGTTTTATTTTGAATATTGAACTTTAGCTTATTTATGATGTTTTGGTACATGAGTCGAAATTTAGTGTTATAAGAGTTATAATAAAAAAATTATGAATAAATTTATCTTATAATTACTTCATATTATTAAAAAAGCGTTGTATCCTCAACGATAAATCATTGTATTTAAGAAGATATTAAAATATTAATGTCATGTGTATTATTAAAGTATCGATAAATTATTATGTTGTTACAAATTAAAGCGACAAATAATTTATAGGTTCAATAATGTTTAGTCAGATTAAAATTAATAATTGTATTATGCTAAATTACAAATGTAGTACTTATAGTATAATTTAATTAAGTTCTAATCGAATTAACTAAGCAACCTTTGTGGTAAATGATTTTTTGTTATTTCTTAAGATCCTGGATTCGAGCACAAAAAATACTAAGGTTGCGTCAACCTTGCAAACTGCCACTTATGTCTGCTTCGTCCTTATCTTTTCACAAATTGTCGAACGGCCAAAGGCCAATAGGTAATCAAACATCCAATTGCCACGGTCGGTCAAACGACCAAAAGATCGACTGTAACAGTCGATCATAGGGATTTTTAGGGATTTCAATGTTTTATATTTTAGGGATTTAATAGAGTAGGCGACGACTAAGGTGGTTGTTCGTTGATGACCAGCAACGATCAGGACGGTGGTGGCAGCGACGACTGAGGTTTGAATTTAGGAATTAAAGTTTTTAATGTTTTGAGTGTTTTTTGTTTAGACTTAAGAAAATTTTAGGGTTTTTAATATATTTTTAATTTTTAATTTTAAATAAAAATTTCAAAATTCTATAAACGTGACATGAGATAGATAACATAATTTTTTTAATAGTTGTTACGGTCGAGACACTTAAAATGATAACATTAGTAACATTAGGCACCTAGATTGACAAAAAAATAGTTTAGACACTGAAATGAGAAAATTAGTATAATTTGAAAACTTATTTTTATATTAAACCAATAAAATATAAAGAATAATTTATAATTTATACATAGTATGAAAACATCTCTTCCATTATCAAACTTCTTATTTTATGCATTTGTAACTAACAATGAAGACGTAAGAAAAATGACTTAATTATAATATAATAATAATAATAGAAAATCACCATTTAGTTTGCAACAAAATGTGCAAAAGGAAAGGTATTTGATAATACCTCTAAATTTATAAGAGACCAATTGTATACTCTACCCTTTGAGGATACCCGCCCTCGAACCTGAGACACGTGACTCGTGTACTTTGAGCACAAAGCACAACAAGCCAGCTAGTCGCAACAAGGGCCAGTGTAAGCTTCTGGCTTCGTCAAATCCTTATTCGCATGTTTTTTTATTTCTTAATTTTCTTTTTACAAAATCCACCCTGAAATGAATAATATGTTTTATGAATGCTTATTCTAAATAAATCTTTTAATTCCATTATTTTATATTTTTCCACTCGTTCCAGGCTATTAAGCTTGAGAAAGGAAATTTGTATACGTTTTTCAGGTAAATATTACAACATGAAGCTCTTTTACTGTTAATGTTTAATCTGTCAGATTTTACTGCGATAAAATAATCTGTAATTAATTGATTGTATTATACATTATAATTCTAATGGTTCATTACCTCGATTCGAATACGACCCTTTCTATGAATGAGTACAGCACAACCGAAAACAGTAAAGATCACACAGGCACTGCTTAGAAATACAAGAAGATACTTGAGAAGATTCTTTCCTTTCCAGGTAATGAATCGCAAGACCCTTTTGGTGCTGCAAAACCAAACCTTGTTTACATGAGATCTGTTTTTGGATGTCCTAACAACTTCAATAATATCAGAAATAAAAACAAAACAAAATTATGCTTAGATCGATGTCACGTTGGAAAACAACTATTCGTGGTTGGAGTCTCTCGATCTCAAACACCTTTACAGTCTTTAGTGTTTGAACATGAAACCTCTAACGATAACAACTATCTCTTTAATCATTGAGTTGATTTTGTTCGTGTTTAATTATGTACGGAAGTTAGCCCAATTGTATAATATTGTTAAAACTACTTCATTAAATCATTGATTTTGAGATTAACAATTTAAAGATTTATATACAAAAGATTAAAAAAACTCAGCCTCTAAACTATTTATATGCAATAAGTAATAAAGAATCAATCATTCAAATTTATTTGTTTATCAACAAATAGACGAATTTCTTGTGTTTCGTAAAGTATAACGAATAAATTATGAAGAAAACGAAGTATAGGGACTAATTCTAAGTTTTATGGAGTAGAGAGAAACATTTGTAATTAAACCTTTATTTTAAATTTTATTTGGTAAATTAGTCTCTCTAATTTTAATTATCAAAATTTGGTTCTCATACTTTATTGAGAATTTAATTCAATTTCATAACACCGTTAAACCTTGCCTTTAAATCCTTGATCTTGAAATCAATGTTCAACAATTTGTATGAAATAAATTAACAAAAACAAACTGTTCAAATTCAAGTGTTTATTGATAAATAGACTAATTTCTTTGGTTTAGTAAAGTATAAATGGATAAATTATAAAAAGTTAAAAGTATAGGAATTAATTCTAAGTTTTAAGAAGTTAAAGGCTACATTCATAATTAGACATTCTTTTTTAAAAAAATAAGGGTAAAATACACAAATGATCTCCCGATTATAGGGTTCTATTTTGTTGAGTCTCTTGACTATTAAAAGTTACAAAAAAATTCATTGACTAGAGGGTGTTACTTTCTCGAGTCTCACGACTATTAAAAGTTACAAAATGATTCACCGACTATTAAAAGTTATAAAATGGTCACACAACTACTCATATGTTTCAAATTCATTCTTTTTCGTTAAAAAATTACGATTTTCTGAGCTAGACGTTAACCTACTAATTGATATATGATAAAATTATATTACGATGTTTACTAGCATTTTCGTTGCTTTTAAGCATTGGCTCGACCACATAATGTTTTAAACACTAACTCAACAACATAATGTAATGGATATTCGATCTATAAAATACAAAAAAATGTTATGGGATCAATTTTTATCATATCTCAATCAACAAGTTAACGTATAGCTCAGACAACCACAAATTTGTTGACAGAAAAAGATGAATTTAAAACATATGAATAATAGTGTGACAATTTTGTAACTTTTAATAATAGAAAAACTCGAAAAAACAATACCATATAGTCCATGAGTGTAACTTTTAATTGTCAGAGAACTCAAAAAAATAACAATCTATAGTCGGGGGACCATTTATGTAATTGAACCAAATAATAAATGGAAAAGGCTTTATTATTACATTCTTCTAATTTAAATTGCGAGGGAATTCAATCATTTGTAAAGAAGCGAGGGAATTCTTTTTTCGACGGAACTTATCCGCTAAAAGTTGAAACCCTAATTTTCGTGAATTTTATTCTCATTCGAAAGAAAGATGGGATTATGGGAAGCTTTTCTCAATTGGCTTCGAAGGTAAGTTTCTCTTCCTTGTTTAATTTCCGAGAAAATAAAGCTAAAGAACTAAAGAAATTTTAATTTTGTTAATTATTGTGTTTATTTGCACGTTTAATCTGACCGAGCTAATGTTTAACGAAAAAATTGATAGATAATGTAGACACCCGTTTTTGTCCGGTTTTTTTTTATCGTTATTTTATTATTATTATTATTATTATCGTTATCTTATTATTTTATTATTATTTATTATTACATATTTTTTTTTTGCAGGCCAAAGCCTAATACAACAAGGCCCAACCAAGGCCCAAACCCGAGCCCATCATATGATAACCCAACAAAATTAGGGTTTCAAAACCCTAAATCATCATCAGCCGCCGCCGCTCAAGCCAAGTTGCACTTCCCACCGCCGTCGTCACTGCTGCCGGTCCATCTCATCGTCGCCGTCATCATTAACAGAGGCCGAACAGTGATAGAAACAGTAAAAAAAAAAAAACAATCAACAGAAACCAAATCAATATCAACTTATCATATACAGTAACCTAAATCCGAAAACCCATTAAAATAACACCCAAAAATCCCGAAAAATCTGGACTTTATTCACCCAAATCAGAGAAATCAAATCCTATCCATAGACCTCATCATCTCACCAAACGAAGCAAAAATCAACATGCAAAGCAAGATAAAAGGAAAGAGCAAAGAGAACAGAGGGGAGGCGGTGATAACAAAAAAAAAAAAGAGACCATTCGGGTTTGACAGAAAGAGAAAAAAAATCAAAGCATAAAAACAAAAGGAGAGAGAGAGAGAAGATCTCACCGTGGGTTCGAAGCGGTTGGGAACACCAAGAGTCGCCGGATTCTTGTTGCTTCGAGAGGTAACAACCTAAGATTTAGGGGTCTAGCTAGGTTTTTAGGCTATAAAGTTTAAGGTTCTGGTTCAAGGGAGAAGAGAGGATTCGTTTGGGCTCGTTTTCACTTCTCCGGCCGCCGTGCGCAGCCGTCGGCCCCGCCGTGGGAGCCTCCGGCCACCGTGGCCGTTCTCTCGTTGTTTGAGAGAGTTGGGAGAGTTCTCTGGAACTCTCTCTCTCTTCATTTGTTAAAATGAAGCAGCAATGAGGGGAGGAGCCGTTTTGGGGGTTTGGGTGGGGAGCAAAACGCAGCCGTTTTGGGCACCCCATTCCCGTGTTTTCAGAGTTTTAAAGGGCTAATGGCGTGTTTAGTCCCTGCAGGTTGAGAAACTCACCCGTGTCTCTCATATATTTAGGGTAAATCGCACTATAGGTCCCTTGCAGTTGTAATCTATTTATTTCAATCATATACTGAAAAGTTTGCTTTATTATATTTTGAGCACTTATGTTTCTGTATTTCCATTCTAGTCCTAATTTCTTGTGTTATGATTTTGTGGGTGTTTGAGTTTAGCCATCATATTTGCAAATATTCCATTTTAGTCACTGTTTATTATTTGATTTAATTACTGTTCGGCCCTCTATGTTTCTGTTGATATTTTAATTTGGCCTTAATATTTATGCATGTTACATTTTGGTCAATCTTACAGTTTATGTATTTTGTATTTTGTATACCATGTTCATATAGTTTATATTTTGGTCACTAGATCCTCTGTTGCTAATTTTTATAAATTTGTACATTGTATTCTGCAGTTATATATTTTATTTTAGTCCTATTATTAAATGTAATGTTATTATAGTCATACTTGACTTTGGTCCCAATGTTTGTAATAATTTCATTTTAGTTCTCTATATTATTTTTGGGTTATCTTCATTTTGATACATGTATTATTTAATATTTGTAATTCGGACTTTGGTTTTTACTGTTTAGTCCCATTAGTTTTTATTTCTTTATTTTGGTCCCTAAATTTCTTTTTCTTCTGTTTTTAACCTATTCAGTTTCTGTATTTGCTATTTACTCCCTTAAATTCTTGTATTTACTATTTCAGTACATCAAGTTTCTGTTTTTCTTCCTTTTGATCCTTGTAATTACAAATATTTACCTTTTGATAATATTATCTTGGTTTATAATATTTTTTTATTTTATTTTAGTCATTTATGTATGATTTTATTGCACTTATTATTTGGTTGTTTGTAGTATGTAAATGATGTTTTTTAGTAATGTAAATATTTTATTTTGTATTTCCAATTACATTTATTTTCATTATATTTTTATCTATATATGAAATATTCGACTATATTTTCAAGAACACGTATGCATAGAATGGGCGTGGAAAGTACCACTTGGTCGAAGTGGTACGATCCGATACGGCATTTTAACGACATAGGAACTTGCAACAAGTCGATTATATTTTACTAATTAATTTATTTTAATAATGTAATGTGTGTTTTTTAATATTTATTTCATTTTTATTTGAATGCAAGCGTAAATTTCATTTTTATTCGATTCGCATTTTATCAAGAGGGAAATATTCTTTATGGATAAGAAATAGTCGAGTTAACTTTCCCGATGGAGGATTACTAATTTCGATATTTCTTTTCGAGTTAAAGAATTTTCTGTAAATAATTAACTCGAAGCAAATTGATTAAATTTCAATAAATGGATCGTGATTTAACTTTATATTCGATTTATAATTTCCATCATCACGACGATATGTAAGCGATACAGTACCAATTTTGGACGCTGTGGGGGTGCTAATCCTTCCCCACATGTAACCGACTCCCGAACCCATCAAATCGATTTTCTGGTAAACGTAGACCACTTTTGTCTTTAAAAATGATTTTTCTTAAAATTATTTTGAAAGACGTTTTTAGGTATTCGACCTGCCTAATCTAAAGGTCGATGGCGACTCTTTTCAAATTTATTCAAATCAATTCAAAATCACCCATTTTTTTAAAAAATTAAAGTCGTAATCGTTTTTTTAAAATAATATTTAATTGTTTCACAAAAAAAAATGGTTATGACAGCTTGGCGACTCCGCTGGGGACTTTTTTAGAGAGTCAGGCTGTATGTCGTTTACATATTGTCATCTTGGTGGAAATTATGATTTCTTGTTTTAGTTAATTTATGATCCGTTTATTGAAATTTTTAATTGCTTCGTTTTTTTGTCGTACTAACATTTTATTTTTGACTTTCAGCTTTGTCAGGATTTTATCTTTTTTTTCCTTGTTTTGTTTTCCTTTTGGGTCGAAGGTAGGTATGTTCCTCCTCACACACATCACTCGCATTGGCATAACATAAGCTCTAGACACGAGCTTCGATCCAAATTAGTTGGGGTGAATGCTTTACTCTCGTAAGAATTTATTCTTCGTATGAGTGTTAGCAAATAACTCATGGGATACATACCTTATACCTTCGTAGGAATTTATTCCTCGTATGGGTATAAGACAGTGAATCCCCTCGAATTGAACTCGTTCCGTTTGAAACCTGTAATGGGTGAGGATTGAGGGTTTGGCAGCCCAAGGGGGCACCGACATCAAGGACAATTCGAGTCCCTTCTTTCCGTTAGAGCCGAAACCAAGCATATAGTGAACCGTCGAACGATCACCCTAGATATAGTCATACCGAACCTCTGTCCGTTAGTAGGTACCCAAAATAGGTGTACACAAAGGATGAGCGTTTCTAAACCCTTATCTTTTGCTTTAAGTTTGTAGAATCTGTTTTCTTTTCGAATAAAAGCATGCGAACTAGATACCATGCGGTTAGGACCAATTTCTTGAAAATAGATCATTGTGGGTAGAAAGCATATCCGGGTAGGATTGCTATATATCGAAAGCATGTTCGGGTAGATATCATGACGGGGTAGGTGTTATCCATCCATCAATTTTTACATGTACTAACTTATTTATACTAACTTATTTTTCTCTTTTGTTTGTGTATACTAACTTATTTCTTCTCTTTTGTTTGTGTCATTTTGTCATCTGCATTGCATTGCATTGCATCATCATAATGCAAAAGTGTTGATCCGTAAGGGGATATTCGAGAGAAAATTTTCACAAGAAGAGATAAAAGTTTTCAATCAAGCGATCGCATACACAGACATGCATCGAGGGCTAAAAAGAAGTCCAGAGTACAAGAATGAGATTTTCTCGAAGATCGTGCATCATTCGAGACTGATATGATAATCCACTGATCTAAGGAGTAATCCAGCAGTAGATTCTCATCCACAATTATTCCATCGTTAACCATCAGGGAGTGAAGCACAAACTTCAGCATAGCCGAGGCATTAACGGAGTCAGATTACAGAGCGCTTGAGGGGCATCATTATTGAGGACGAAGATCCGATATGAAGCAGTGATCCATTCCAGGCTCACCATCTAAGCGAAGACATGTCTGTAAAGTGGACTGTCTTGTAATGTGAAATTTTTTATCTCTGGTGGGAATTGTTCTACGGTATTTATCGTTGGGATCCACATTTCTGTATTTGCATTTGCATCGTTGCATTTTGCATAACATTCATTTAAGCATGTTTACATGCATTAATCATACCTTGCTGGAAACTTTGAGGAAGCACTTCTAACTGTGCAATTGCATTCACACAGTACTGAGAATGGATGCAAAATTTGAGGAATTAAAGAAAGAGCTGAACGAGAGTTTGCAAAAGATGCAAGTTGAGTGGGAGGTTAAAATGGAGCAGATGCAAAAGACCACCGTGGATCGTATCTTACAAAACCAAAAAGACCTAGTTGACCAAATGGTAGCAAAGATGGCTGAGCTCGACCAAGAAAAAGGCAAAGAAAAGATTTCATTAACCCGTGAAACAGTAAAATGTGTGAAAGCACAGGCTAGTTCGCAACCAATTATCTCGCCCAACAGGATTCCTAGTTACCTAGCGACGAGAAGAGCCAAGAACGAGATCCCAGATAATTTGAAACAGTGGTGCAGAGAGACATTCCATGGAATGAGAGGACCAAACTCTCACAACGGGATGGATGCAACAGAACTAGTACTAGTTCCTGACCTGATGCTCCCGCCCAAATTCAAGATGCCCGAGTTTGAAAAGTACAGGGGAACCAGTTGCCCCAATGCCCACCTCACGATGTTTATTCGAAGAATGACTGGATACACTAACAATGATCAGATGTTGATCCACTGCTTTCAAGACAGTTTGATTGGATCTGCTTCAAGGTGGTACCACCAACTGAGTCGTTCTCAAGTCCGCTCCTGGAGGGATTTGGCTAGTGCTTTTCTGGGCCAATACAAGCACATGATTGATATGGCCCCCGATCGAACAATGCTTCAGAATATGGGGATGAAGAATTATGAGAGTTTTCGACAGTACGCACAACGATGGAGGGATATTGCATCTCAAGTGCATCCACCAATGACTGAAAGAGAGTTCATCACTATATTCATAGATACATTACAGTCTCCTTATATCGACTACATGATAGGGGTTGCCACTAAGAGTTTCTCTGACATTGTCATGTGTGGAGAAATGATTGAAAGAGCTATTAATAATGGCCAGATATGTGGTACTAGCCATACTGACATTGAGGAAAGAGCTGAGGTCAGTCTAGTGGATTTAATTAATCTGGGGACCGTGTCTCATAATGATTTTCGTAAAAAGACATGCATCAATCCAATTCCGATGACATATGAGGAATTGCTCCCAGCTCTAATTGAGAACAACCTGGTGATTCCAGTTCAATCCAAACCAAGAACTGACCCATATCCTGAAGGCCATGATATTAATGCCATATGCAGCTATCACATTGGGATCTCAGGGCATACCACTGAGAATTGTAGGGCATTAAAGTGCAAGGTCCAAGATCTGATCGATTCAGGGACATTAACGTTCAATGTGTAATGGGGCATTCTGATCGGAAGTCGGTCGGGGCATCCATCAGGAGATTTTGTTGCATTCTCATGCATGACATCTTGTTTGAATTTGTTTTTCTTTTGTTCTTCTTATGTTTAAATTTTTGTAAGTCACTTGACGTCCGAACATTGTAAATAAAATACTTCCTTAAAAAAAAAAAAAAAATAATGACAATGAGCAAATTTTAATCTTGAATTCTTTGAATATCATTTTAATTAAAAGCATTTTAATAATTGAGGTTGTAAATCTTTGACAAATGACAAGATTGAACCCTGCAAAACAGTGACCCCTTGATCCTAATCCAGAGGTACACCAGAATACATACCATTTTCTTGCAGGGACCGAGCTAGTTTTCTGTTCACATAAAGAGTCAATCAAAGGGTTTGGCATTCAGGTATGTGTTAGGAGCGGATAAAATGGGGCAACTAGCACATGAGATTGCAAAACTAATTAGTTATTATTTCTGTTTATGCCGTTCAATGATGATCATAATCTTCTCAGATGGAATGGTCAAGTAGATGAATCTAGTTTAGGTCAGTTGCTTGGGAATTGAACTCTAACGATGAGATTTGCTGACCTTCAACAAACACCGAGACTATAACAGGTTCTCCTCAGCGAGCTTAAGAAATGGAATCCGTAAACAAACAAACAAAAACATATATGTATACAATAAAGCTGAGCTATTCCGCTAAAGCAATTGGTTATAGAGGAAACTCGAAAACCCTGGCTTTATGAATAGATTACATTCAAACCATGACATTGATCGGGTACTTGGCAATCCGGTGTATGCTCCACTGTGGTTGTCAAGTCGAAGACTTTGTGACGACATGAATAATTCAGCTAGCCGAACAAAGGCAATTATAAAATATATGTATAATAAAGCTGAATTCAGCTAGCCAAACAATGGCAAATCAAATCAAATTTACTAAAATAAGGAGTTTCGGTGAATATGGACTAAGGGAGTTGAGGAACACCTGTTATAGTCGAACTCACACGAACACTCAGAAATCTCATTTTTAGATCGATATTTTTGCACTACCTTGACTAGGAAAGTCTACGAAGCTTGAACAAATGGAAGGTTTCAGAGACTTGAAATAAAAGTGTTCTAAAGAGTTTAGCAAGTAACTATGCTAGTTGTGTCATTTTGTTCGCCTCCGATTAAAGTGCCAAATCAAGAAAGAGGGGTATGTCATTACCTTCACGAGGACCAATGGATGAAACACACCTTAGAATTTAGGTAGCCAACCTCTAAACCCACCTGTCGATCTTGATATTTGTCAAAGATTTGTAACTATCAATGATTAAAAGAGCATTTGATTCTTTTGATATCCAATGAATTCATGTTTTATGATTGGATTCAATTGTGAAACTTAGAAGGAGGCAATATTTTTCGAAATTTTGAAAATTCAAGAAGAAGAAAAACATTTTCAAACAAGATAGTCTCTCGGGAGGCATATATTGGAATTCAACGAAGATCCCTCTGAAGCTCAGGATTGAAGCTGGGGCAAGAGAAGCTAAATTTTAGGGCAAAATTCGATGGAATAAACAAATGGTCTCAGGTCAAGGTTAGTAAGAGTACACATTGGTGGAAATACAGACAAATTGAATCAATGATAGAGTGAAGACTACTCTCGCAACAATTCTCCTTCCAGATTGAGAAAACATACATACACATACATACATAATACATAACATTTGCATCAAACATTTATCATCATATATATTAAAGACATTTTTCTCCTCACTTGGGGACAAATTGGACAAAAAAATCAAATAAATTTCATATTGACATCTATCATAACATCCAAGATAGTTAGTCAAAAATGCATCATTCTGATCTTTTCAGGAAATAAGAGCTCGGAAATAACCAGGTGTTTTCAACCTGAAAGAACAATGCAATCCACATATTTGGCTTCCTGAAGTCAACAATCAGATCTTCTGAAGATGTTTCCTCAACATGCAGGAATCAATAGACAAACTTTGAGCTATGAGATTATTTTCTTTAAAAAAAAATATATAATAATAAAGTGTCGTTTCACTTGAGATCGTTTCTCAAAAACAAACTTTGTCTCGCTTGAGACAATTTCTCTAAAAACAAATGTTGTCTCATTTGAGACTATATCTTAAAGCAAATTTCGTCTCGCTTGAGACATCATTTTCTCTCATAATACAAATTTCAAGGTTGTTGTACTTAAAGCAAAATTAATATCACTTGAGATTTTCAAAGCTGGTTTATCTCGCACGAGACAGTTTCCCCTTTTAACAAATCCTGAAATTGTTTCATTTGAAACAAAATAAACACTTTTGAAAACACCCTTGAGATTATTTCCACATAAACAAAATTGACAATATTTGAATCTTCTAAAACAAAGTTTTGTCTCTCTTGAGACAGTTTCTCTTGAAAAAAAATCTTTGAGTTAGTTCCTTTTAAATAAAATCTTGGAGTTTGTTCCTTTTGAATAAATATCTTTGAGTTGTTTCTTTTGAAAAATCTTTGAGTCTATTTATTTTGAAACAAAGTTTTGTCTCTCTTGAGACAGTTTTCCTTTAAACAATCTTTGAGTCTGAAACAAAGTTTTGTCTCTCTTTAGACAATTTTGTGAAAAAAAATCTTTGAGATTGTTTCTTTTGGAAAAAATCTTTGAGTTTGTTTCTTTGGAAACAAAATTTTGTCTCTCTTAAGATAGTTTCTTTTGAAACAAAAAAATCTTTGAGTCTGTTTCTTTGGAAACAAAATTTTGTCTCTCTTAAGATAATTTCTTTTGAAAAAATCTTTGAATCTGTTTTTCTTAAAATAAATTTTGTATCTCTTGAGACAGTTTCTCTTGAAGTAAATCTTTGAATATGTTCATTTTGAAAATCTTTGAGTTTGTTTCTTTGGGAACAAAATTCACCATCTTTGAGTCTGTTTCCTTTGAAACAAAACAAACATCTTTGAGATCATTTCCCTTTAAACGAATTTTGTCTCATTCGAGACAGTTTTCCGTTAAACAATCTTTGAGTCATTTCCTTTGAAACAAAATTTTGTCTCTTTTGAGACAGTTGCTTTTGAAACATAACATCTTTGGGTTTGTTTCTTTTGAAACAAATCTTTAATTTGGTTTCTCTTGAAACCATAACTCCTTTAGATGACCAGATCTCCTCATCACGTATGAGCCGTGTCATTCCCCAGACCAGATCTCCTCATCACGTAGGAGCCGTGTCAACCATAGATAACCAGCCGTCCTCATCACGTAGGAACCGTGTTATCACCTTTAGATGGCCAACCGTCCTCATCATGTAGGAACCGTGTCATCCCCAGACCAGATCTCTTCATCACGTATGAGCCGTGTCACCCTTAGATGACCAGACCTCTTCATTGCGTATGAGTCGTGTCATTTCCCGACCAGATCTCTTCATCACGTATGAGCCGTGTCACCCTTAGATGACCAGACCTCTTCATTGCGTATGAGTCGTGTCATTTCCCGACCAGATCTCTTCATCACGTATGAGCCGTGTCACCCTTAGATGACCAGACCTCTTCATTGCGTATGAGCAGTGTCGTCCCCACCAACAGAACTATCCATTTTTTTTTCAAACCAAAAAGAGGAGAACCAGACAAAAAACGTGTTTTCTTGTCGTCTTTGCCCTATTCTTGTTAACACAAGAATGTGCAAAGAGGGGCAGCTGTAGACACCCGTTTTTGTCCGGTTTTTTTTTATCGTTATTTTATTATTATTATTATTATTATTATCGTTATCTTATTATTTTATTATTATTTATTATTACATATTTTTTTTTTTGCAGGCCAAAGCCTAATACAACAAGGCCCAACCAAGGCCCAAACCCGAGCCCATCATATGATAACCCAACAAAATTAGGGTTTCAAAACCCTAAATCATCATCAGCCGCCGCCGCTCAAGCCAAGTTGCACTTCCCACCGCCGTCGTCACTGCTGCCGGTCCATCTCATCGTCGCCGTCATCATTAACAGAGGCCGAACAGTGATAGAAACAGTAAAAAAAAAAAACAATCAACAGAAACCAAATCAATATCAACTTATCATATACAGTAACCTAAATCCGAAAACCCATTAAAATAACACCCAAAAATCCCGAAAAATCTGGACTTTATTCACCCAAATCAGAGAAATCAAATCCTATCCATAGACCTCATCATCTCACCAAACGAAGCAAAAATCAACATGCAAAGCAAGATAAAAGGAAAGAACAAAGAGAACAGAGGGGAGGCGGTGATAACAAAAAAAAAAAGAGACCATTCGGGTTTGACAGAAAGAGAAAAAAATCAAAGCATAAAAACAAAAGGAGAGAGAGAGAGAAGATCTCACCGTGGGTTCGAAGCGGTTGGGAACACCAGGAGTCGCCGGATTCTTGTTGCTTCGAGAGGTAACAACCTAAGATTTAGGGGTCTAGCTAGGTTTTTAGGCTATAAAGTTTAAGGTTCTGGTTCAAGGGAGAAGAGAGGATTCGTTTGGGCTCGTTTTCACTTCTCCGGCCGCCGTGCGCAGCCGTCGGCCCCGCCGTGGGAGCCTCCGGCCACCGTGGCCGTTCTCTCGTTGTTTGAGAGAGTTGGGAGAGTTCTCTGGAACTCTCTCTCTCTTCATTTGTTAAAATGAAGCAGCAATGAGGGGAGGAGCCGTTTTGGGGGTTTGGGTGGGGAGCAAAACGCAGCCGTTTTGGGCACCCCATTCCCGTGTTTTCAGAGTTTTAAAGGGCTAATGGCGTGTTTAGTCCCTGCAGGTTGAGAAACTCACCCGTGTCTCTCATATATTTAGGGTAAATCGCACTATAGGTCCCTTGCAGTTGTAATCTATTTATTTCAATCATATACTGAAAAGTTTGCTTTATTATATTTTGAGCACTTATGTTTCTGTATTTCCATTCTAGTCCTAATTTCTTGTGTTATGATATTTTGTGGGTGTTTGAGTTTAGCCATCATATTTGCAAATATTCCATTTTAGTCACTGTTTATTATTTGATTTAATTACTGTTCGGCCCTCTATGTTTCTGTTGATATTTTAATTTGGCCTTAATATTTATGCATGTTACATTTTGGTCAATCTTACAGTTTATGTATTTTGTATTTTGTATACCATGTTCATATAGTTTATATTTTGGTCACTAGATCCTCTGTTGCTAATTTTTATAAATTTGTACATTGTATTCTGCAGTTATATATATTTTATTTTAGTCCTATTATTAAATGTAATGTTATTATAGTCATACTTGACTTTGGTCCCAATGTTTGTAATAATTTCATTTTAGTTCTCTATATTATTTTTGGGTTATCTTCATTTTGATACATGTATTATTTAATATTTGTAATTCAGACTTTGGTTTTTACTGTTTAGTCCCATTAGTTTTTATTTCTTTATTTTGGTCCCTAAATTTCTTTTTCTTCTGTTTTTAACCTATTCAGTTTCTGTATTTGCTATTTACTCCCTTAAATTCTTGTATTTACTATTTCAGTACATCAAGTTTCTGTTTTTCTTCCTTTTGATCCTTGTAATTACAAATATTTACCTTTTGATAATATTATCTTGGTTTATAATATTTTTTTATTTTATTTTAGTCATTTATGTATGATTTTATTGCACTTATTATTTGGTTGTTTGTAGTATGTAAATGATGTTTTTTAGTAATGTAAATATTTTATTTTGTATTTCCAATTACATTTATTTTCATTATATTTTTATCTATATATGAAATATTCGACTATATTTTCAAGAACACGTATGCATAGAATGGGCGTGGAAAGTACCACTTGGTCGAAGTGGTACGATCCGATACGGCATTTTAACGACATAGGAACTTGCAACAAGTCGATTATATTTTACTAATTAATTTATTTTAATAATGTAATGTGTGTTTTTTAATATTTATTTCATTTTTATTTGAATGCAAGCGTAAATTTCATTTTTATTCGATTCGCATTTTATCAAGAGGGAAATATTCTTTATGGATAAGAAATAGTCGAGTTAACTTTCCCGATGGAGGATTACTAATTTCGATATTTCTTTTCGAGTTAAAGAATTTTCTGTAAATAATTAACTCGAAGCAAATTGATTAAATTTCAATAAATGGATCGTGATTTAACTTTATATTCGATTTATAATTTCCATCATCACGACGATATGTAAGCGATACAGTACCAATTTTGGACGCTGTGGGGGTGCTAATCCTTCCCCACATGTAACCGACTCCCGAACCCATCAAATCGATTTTCTGGTAAACGTAGACCACTTTTGTCTTTAAAAATGATTTTTCTTAAAATTATTTTGAAAGACGTTTTTAGGTATTCGACCTGCCTAATCTAAAGGTCGATGGCGACTCTTTTCAAATTTATTCAAATCAATTCAAAATCACCCATTTTTTAAAAAAATTAAAGTCGTAATCGTTTTTTTAAAATAATATTTAATTGTTTCACAAAAAAAAATGGTTATGACAGATAACTTATGACTGAATTTCAAGTTTCGCTTTCAATTTTTTAAATTGGTGATTCGGATCAAGTATATAATCGAGTGGGATATATGTCTTGTGGTTGTTTTCGTTTATTGGATTTTGCAGTGGAAATTATTTTTTTGTTGTTTATTGGTTTTTTCTTTCCTTTAATGCGCTATTATTTATTGATAGGAACAATATTTTTTTATAATATAATTATAACAGATAGCACTGTGATAGTTGCCTTACAAGAAAATTTGTAGATTGGAGAGTGGATTGAAATTTGAAGTGATAGTTAGGTGTTAATTTGTTGATGTCTGGTTAGGTTGGTTGATTGTAGACGTAATTGCCTAGATATCTGTGAGGTTTCTAAACCATTATGGTGAAGTGCTTGGTTTGGTTAAAAGACGGCTAGAAAGATGTCGTTTTTTTCATCCAAATCTATGTGCTTGGCGTTTTTCATACGTGAAATACGTGTATGTGTCATTTTGGAGTTACATAAGAAAATAATGTCAATTGTGGTGAGTTCCAGTTTCTCCGGTATTGTTGTTGGGAAAGGGGTAGTTGCACTTCTAGGTGGTAGCAACAGCTAAGTTACAGGTGAGTAAGATTAATAGGGTATCTTGCTGACGTAATTAGAAGAATTAATCACATACAAGGTTCTTGAATTAGTTATTGATTAACAGAATAACAGATGCTTTTTGCATTATATGTTTTTCCTCAATGGCGTAATACGGTAATCATTCAGTGCCCTCCGTCTTTGTTTTCTTCTCAAGTCCAAATTAGCAAGTAGCTGAAGAGCAGTTTCAGTCATGTATTACCCAAGCAATAAGGAATTCTAACCTAGTGTGGCAAAGGGAGGACTTTAGTTGTTGGTGGTGCCTGATGGTTCTGGCAAGAGGGTTTTTTATTTATTTATAATTTTAGGAGAGGCGGGGTGTGATTGGGTGAGGCAGCCCTATATTTATATTGTTTCCTCTGGCCATTTTCCTTTTTTGCATGCTTTTTATGTATATTCAAGGAAGGCCTTACAAAGTTTAGACGAGCTCTTGATGCAGGTTTCTGATTGACCTTTCTTTGTACATATTAATCCTTTCTTTTTGGATTAAATTCCCTGCATAGTAGTTAATATTTTCTCTCTCTTTCTTGTAGTCTCTTCTTCAAGCAAGAAATGGAGCTATCTTTAGTAGGCCTTCAGAATGCTGGTAAAACATCCCTTGTCAATGTCATTGCAGTAAGTGAACGTATTTGTGAGTTTGTTCCTATTCTTTAGCTTGTTCCTGACAACTGGACTTCTTTTGTCTGTATCTTGCTTCAAGACTGGTGGATATAGTGAAGATATAATACCGACGGTAAGTGATCTGGCAAAGTGCCAATACCAACATTGATTCTTGAGAATTTGTAATACACATGCCACAAGTTATTGTTTGGTGGGTTCTGTTACTTTTTATTTTCATGACATCTCTTTTGTTTGCAGGTAGGATTTAATACGAGGAAGGTAACTAAAGGAAATGTTACGATAAAGTTATGGGATCTTGGAGGTCAACCAAGGTTTCGAAGCATGTGGGAGAGATACTGCCAGGCTGTTTCAGTTATTGTCAAGTAAATCATGCTTTTTTGGCGACCATTCTCTCTATAGGATGAATTTGGAAAATATTACGATGTTTAATGTGTCTTTATTCAAAGAAAGTTGTTCCTATATCAAAATTATAATTGTTATGAGAATATACAGGTTAGATTTTAAAGGATATTAATCTCAAGTTTCCTAGAAACAAAACCTGTTTGTTTGTTTTCCAGTGATCGTTTTCTACTGGAAATCACAAGAAAATGTTCTCTTTGTTAATTCATAAATGTTCGTATCCTAATTGCCTCCATCTTATTGTTGGTCTTGAACTTACCTTGTTTTCTTAAAAAGAAGCCTATCTGTAGACAATGTCCTCTGTCCATCTTATGATAGCATTCAACTAAGTCTGTTTTCTTGTACCTCCTCTTCCCTCTCCATGATGCCGTAGTTTACACTTATGGTCATTTGATTTTCTTATCTTCCAGTTCACTATCATAAACTAAATGTATGAGCAATCAGTAAATTGTTAGGTGAAAATAGTTCATGAGAAATCAGTAAATTGTTAGGTAAAGAATGAAAAATGGTTCAAAAACTGTAGTGGAGGGCAATGAGAAGTTAGGGAAGGATCTATATAACTTGGTTCTCAGGTGAGCTTATATCCAGCATGCCCTAAACACGTTAAGGGATATGCTTTGATTGTTTACTTTCCACAAACTTTGCAATTGGCAACCTCACCACTCCATACCACCCGCTCTTATAGTTTCCTTTTGCCTTGCAAGATCTGCATATTTGTCATGTAAGACGCAAACATGGATTATATGATATCTTCCAGGTAGAACATGCATATCTGCAATATACAGTTATGTTGTGGATGCTGCTGACAACGATAACTTATCTGTTTCGAGAAGAGAATTGCATGACCTGTTAAGTAGACCCTCATTAAGTGGCATTCCCCTACTGGTTCTGGGAAACAAGATTGACAAATCAGAAGCCTTGTCTAAGGAGAATTTGACTGAGAAAATGTAAGTGCGTGCACCGTTAAAAAAGTAAACCTTAGTGCTTAAACAACGGTAACCTGACATAACCAAAGCTGAATCTGTTTTTTCTCTGTGTGTATTTCCCCCACATCCTAACGCAAATGTATTTTTTTCATTGATGTTTTCTGGTGGACTCTGCAGGGGGCTGAAATCGATTACAGATAGAGAGGTTTGTTGCTTTATGATCTCATGCAAAAACTCTTCCAACATCAATATGGTGATTGATTGGTTGGTGAAGCATTCAAAATCGAAGAATTGAAGTCACAAAAGTTTCTCCATTGTTTGTGATTTATAATCGGCTATGGTTGCTTGTTTCTTCGTCGAGGGTGTTCGGTATATGACTTTGCCGTCTGTCTGGCTAACAGGGTTTATCGATGCGTCCAACCGACACCATTGTTGTAGGTTTTCCAACTTGGTTCGAATCATAGGTATTATATATAAATTTGTTTGGTGGGTGAGTCGGGCATAAACTTGTTTGATCCTTTCCGTCTACAGATATTGATGGTTTGTAAACAAATAGCAAGGATTTTGATGCACTTTTAGTTGGATTCTTTGAATTGCCCGCCTAGCTCAGTTGGTAGAGCGCAAGTCTCTTAACCTTGTGGTCGTGGGATCGAGTCCCACGGTGAACAATTCATAATTCTAACTGTCGGAAGTCTTCCACGAAAATTGCACTCAACTTGGTGTTGGAGGCAGCTTACTATTCTACCTCTTCCTTATCTCATTACATATGGGAATAGGATTAGCTATTTTTTTTTAGTTGGATTCTTTGGGAGTTGGAAACATATAGGTATACATATTTCGATGAGATTTAAAATGTTGTTTCAATAACATATTCATAAATTTATAAAAAGACTCTTAAGATGTTATTTCAATAACATGTTTATTTAATTGTGATTTTTTAATTAAAAATTCAATTAAAGTATTGTTTTATTATTATTATCTATTTCATTAAGAGTCAAATTATAGTATAAATTCATACTTTAATTTTAATAAATTTAGTTTTTGACGAGTTTTAAAATGATTCATGGTGAGAGAAACAATCACACTCATAAAATACGACTCAAATAAAATATCCAATTAAATAATAAATGTTAAAATAAAAAAATTAATGTACGAACTAAACGACCTCAATAATTAAGGGATTGTTATCTTTTGAGATCTTAGATTCAATATAAACTTCCCTTTATTTACCTTTGATATATATATATATATATAAACAAAGCTAGCCGTTGCTTACCATCTTCACTTGGTTCACACGAGACACGGTTTTGAGGGTAGCCTTTGGCTGAATTGGTCAGCAATAAAGTAGCAAATGAGAATGATTTTAATTGGCTAATGCCTACATCACGGTTCTTGCTGAGTCATAGCCGAGTTGGTTCATCCATGTCTATTGCTGAGTTAATTTGTCCCATGGTTTTTTTGTCTTCTTTTTTCCTAAATATTAGTCAAGTTTTCTTTACCTTTTGCAATTTGCAAAGGTGTTTTACATTGGCAATGGGTGTTGTAAGTGGAGTGAGCTTTACAAATAAGATTAATCATGGTTTGTTTCAGCATTTGCTTGCGGAAGTATAAAGATCCAGAACTAACTATACAACAGATTTGACACAAAAACTACAGCAAACGGATTCATTTCTATTGAGAATGGCATGGAAAACAAAGAACTACACAACAGATTAATCCCATATGGAAACAAACAGTTCCTATCCCCCCCCCCAATATACATTCTAGTTTCTATGTTCTCCGGCGTCCCAAGCGCAGAGGTATTCGAAATGAATAAATATCAACTGCAATCCCATAAATATTCTCAAAAAGAAAACAAAAAGCAACAATCCCTGCATTTGAAACCATCAGCAAGAAAGGCTGTTAATGGGATCTACTATACCGAAGCGGACCTCCTGGCAAGGAAGAATCCTATACATACACAACCGAAAAGGCATCAAGCTTTCATTTTTCTCTCCTGTGAGACTGAATAATAAGGATGATCACCGGTTGCCTGCTACAAACAGGGATGATCACCGGGTGGCGGCTACATAGTCATTTGAACTCCTCAGTGCTCATTTTGTCAAGTCATCAAACCATCTGCATATTACACAAACAGCATTTTGTATGATGTCATAAGCTAAATGACTAAAGAATAAACTAAGTTGAAAGGGAATGACAAGCAATGAGAAGTCCCATATATGCAGCACACATGTTCCTTGTGCAAAAAATTCTACGTTAGTGGGTGTGAGCATGGAATGCAAGTGAACAGTGTATTTCTCTCACATCCCATCATGACATTCCATCCATCTGATATCTCCTACATCGGCATACGTTCATGTGCAAAATAGATAATGACAACAGACAGCAATTTACCACTTTCTGATTGTTTCTTCCTTTTAGAGTTTTCATTGCTGCTTCAGCAAAAGCTTGTGCTGCCTCTGCATCAGCTTCAGCAACCTCTGCCTCTCTTGCTGCTTCTTCAGCTTCTGCTATTGCAGCTTCTGCTTCTGCAACTGCTCGAGCAGCAGCTGCAGCAGCTTCTTGTGGTGTCATATTCCTCATCCTAGCTAACTCTAAATCGATCTGAGATTTGGTGACGATTTTTATATCATCCCTATCAAATCGAGGAGAAACCCTTTGCCTTGCCTCCGAAAATAGCATGGAATGATTCCTCCTCCTGTCAGAAAATGACAGAGCTGGTGCAATCCTATACCTGCGTTTCACCTGAAAGGAAAAGTATTGAATTAATCAAAACCGTATATCAGGAAACACCACACATTATTTAACCAGACATCAATATTCTAGAAACGGGTAGCACAAATTTGGTAAGGCAGTACTAGGACTACCAAGAAGTATTTGTGAGTTAGACGGTGGAGTGTGATCAGGGTATGATACCTTAATGCCTTCTCAGCGCACATTAATCAACTTCTTCCAGAAATTTTTTAATGATGCCATAGACACAGATGCACAGTGGTCCTTAAGATTAGATTTTCACACACAAATAAAAAACTGCAAACATTTCTGCATTATGAAGACAACCAGACTATTCACTGTAATAACTTAGTTCACAATAATCACTTTTACTGGTTCCAGGAATTTTAATGATGCCATGAACACACAGACCCATAGTGCACCTTAAGATCATATACAACCCTTTAATCACGTATATAGCTTACAACATCTCCAAAATCCTAAACTGTTTCCAAAAATCATAACAGAACACACGCCCACATGCAACATAATACATGCAAATAATATATTTCGTGAAACAAGATATCTACTGATTTCTCAGGCAACAGACTTCATGACTTGGAATAAAGTAGAATCAAATCTGTTTCCATGCAGCATATAAATTACCTTAATCAGTCTACCACAAGCTGTTAAATATTTCAACTTTGCTGACAAGAGCCTCTTAAAGTCAGGAGGTGCCCAATATTGCTCCTACAGAAATAGAAAGAAGGGTAAATTATGCCAACAAAGTGAACACATTTCCTGAGACGTACAAATGCTAAAGCGAACAGGACTACCAAAAAGCATATGTGCTAAACATGGTGGGTGCTGTCATCACCAAAATATGAGGTGGAACATTGCATCAAAGAAAGCAGAATAAATTGATGAAAAAGATCAGCAAGTTATACGAAGAAACTCCAAGTAAACACATATTTCCAGAAACATATGAATGCTAAAGCCATTGGGAGAACAACTTACAGAAAGCATATGAGCTAAACATAGTGAGTGCTGTCATCACCAAAATATGGATGGAACATCATATCATTTTAAGTCCAAGAAAGCAGATTAAAATGATGAAATTATCATTTTGATATGTTAACTGTCACCAAATTTCTTGTGTCATGCAGAATTGGCAGGGTTCTATATTTGAAAGTAAATAAAACTAGCAACACCATACACAAAAGGCACACAGCAAACTGACAAAAGTGATAACTCCTTTATTCCATTTCAACCACCTTAAAATTCAAACTATATAATGGAACATTTATTTGACGCCAGTCTTTCCTCACATCACTTTCTTCTAGTCTTTATGATTGCTAAGAAAAGGCATTGATGGCAGTTAAAGAATAAATAGAAAGGTAGATATCAACCAATCATGTGGCATTTTAAAGTTCTCATATCTCAAAATCAGATATGCTCCACTTTTCTCTATTTATTACAGACCTTGACCGCTATACTTTTTTTAAATAGAAAACATAAAATTGAATTATAAAACATGAAAACTGCATCTAAACCAGACCTCAATATATGTGGCAATATTTGTCTTATTTGAACCACCAGGCTCCTTCAAGCTTGTAATCGCTTCCATAATGAGGTTATCTAACCTACAACAGTGAAGAATTAAAGTCAGAAGTGAAGTAATACATTATGCAAATACATCAAACAAAAACAAGAATGATGTCTTACCTGACAATGGATCTCTTTGTAGAAGGAATCTGCAATGTAGTGTTGGGAGCTGTGATGAGCTTAACATCCACTATTTCTTCATCACTTGGAGCAGCAGCAAGCTCCGTAGCACTTTCCTCCTGTTTAGGAAATCTAGATGTCCTTTTCACAGCTAATCTAGCTTTGTCTCGAGAACCCCATCCATTGGCCATCACACTCATATTTCTCCATTTATCCTACAAATTGAAATGAAAAATAAAATGAATTGCTAGTACAAAACCATGCCTATGCTACTCAAACCCCGGTGTAAGTGCATTACATAAATATGTATCTAAGATGGGTATGGTTATATTTTCTAAGTTTTCCTATGAAATTAGGGGATCCATAGAAGGTTTTTTTTAATAAATGATGTATTATAAAACTTAACCATGAATGGCATCAGTTACAACCGCCTCAGCTATACAATCAGGAGATTCATGTTCAAAATACAATGGAACATCCAAAGAAATACCAAAGGAAGCAAGAGTGTGTACCGGCATTAGCAGAGTGCCGAATAGCACAAATCTGGATGTGGGGATCCTTAGAAGTTACATTAATATATCCATGTGACATATACTAGTGTTCGGACACTAATACTTTACGAACAATGAATAGTCCAAGCAACATAGACTAAAGGTACTAGTCATCAAGCCTTGATTAAAAAGAAAGCTATCAATCGAATCATTTTACAAAAGTAAAAGTAGCAAACCTTAAGATCTACATTGGAACGCAGATACAAGACTCCACTAAATTCCGGGTCTTTCAATATCGTCCGCCATTTTCCAGCACCATGTTTGATGACTCCATCTTTTAACGCGGCCTCTTCTTCAGGTGTCCATTTCTGCTTAGGAGCACCCATTTACAGGAATATAAAAGAAAACACAGCCTTCAAATTTAACAAGCTGCAAAAGCCATTTCCCTCCATATTAGCAGATAAAATCAAATCCAAGAATTGTTCTCTCATAAAATAACATTGGAACAATTATCAAACATCTTGTGCTATAATTGAATATATTTAGCTAATTCCTAACAGATAATAACGTGCTAACAAATCAACAATGCATGGTTCCAATAAAGGACCATCATCATCAAATTAATACTAATTCAAATAATAAAGCCAGAAAGAAAAGCCAATTCCACCCACCGTGTTTCTAAAGATAAATGATAGTACACAGACAAAAAAGAAAATTAATCAAAATTACATAGGGATTTGAAATAACCAAAACATAAACAAAGAAAATACACATGGCAAAATTTAAAAAAAAAATCAAATCCCCATATGTTGCATAAATATCTAAGACAAATAGGGGAAAAGAATATTAATTACCGTATAACAATTTTGCGGGTAATTTGAATCGAAGAACGGGTATTGAAGGCTTGTTTTTTTTATAAAAAAAAAGACGGGAAATTTTTAAAAGAATTAATTAAATTCAATTATTCTACTATGACGATGCTATGCTACAGGAGATTTCACGGCGATTCATGGGGACGCTGTGATTTTCTGGCTAACAATTTTGTTAGGGTTTCTAATTTATTTTTCAATTTTATTTTGCCCTTTCTCTTTATGTTGTTGTTTATCAAACACGACTCTAGGTTTTACTCGTGTCACGTGTGGAAGAACGCTGTGATCCCTGAATGGATCTGGTATCGACACGTGTCCCGCGAATTTGGCGGCTTCGGAATTTTGATTATACTAACAAAAGAGTAACGAAGATTTGGTAATTTGCTTTTGGAAATTCAATTAAATATGAACTGTGATATATGAATTCTGATGATTTTATAATTATTTGTGAAAAAAGATAAAATAATTTTTATTCTCAAATTCAATATTTTTTTAACATCTTAAATTTTATGATTTTTTTCGGTAAATCAATTTATTACTCAAAAAAAGCAATGGCGGATCTAAAAATAATTTTTATGGTGGGTATATATACATTAACAACATAATTTTTTTAAATAGAACGGGCACAAATAAAATTTCAGGGTGAGCACAACCAGTAGATAAATAATCGGAAAAAATTCAAATTTTAAGATGAGCACAAATAATTTTTCAAGATAGGAACCATTAGTAGAATAGATAACTAATCGAAAAAGTTCAGATTTCAGGATATACTCGTGCCTCCTTTCAGCCTTCAATAGATTCGCCACTGAGAAGCGATCAACTACTGCATTCAATTAATTTTATGATATTTTATTATTCTTTTAATTTATATTTTTAATTTTTTCTGATGATGTGTAACATTATTAAAAATATTTAAAAAAAAGAAAAATATTAAATTCAAGATTTTATGTATACAATAAAAATTATAGACTAATTATATTTTCAAATTGTTAAGTTTAGATTTTAAAATTATATTATTTCTATATTTAAATTTGATTGTATTTTATTTATACAAACTATGTTAATATCATTTTTTTTGGAAATTATGTTAATATCATTTTAAGTTTAGTTTTTTGCATGTATGAATATTTACTTGACATTAAAACAATAATTTTCTTTTAGTGTGTATGATTGAATTAATCTAATTTTAAGGCATATAAGAGATTATAGTTTAATACAATAAAAATAAAAATAAATAATTCTACTAGTAATTCTAAGACAGAATATGGTTTTTTTCTTCGTCTTCCTTTTTTTTTCTCTTTATATATATAATTTTAATTATCTTTCGATCATCGTCAACCGTCCTTTCAACATTCGATCACCAAAATTCAATTTTTAAAATTATTTATTAAATTGAAAAATTCTAATTTTAATAATTAAATTAAATAAGAATGAGAAGAAGAAAAAAAGTTAAGCGATGGATTAATAATTATCCTTATTTTTTTTATTGGAAGATAGAGAACAACATATTACAAAAGAAGGTAAATAATATATTTTAATAAATATTAGAGTTCGTGACAGCACTTTCATTGCGTGTGGGAGATTAATAAGTTGGATACAGTAGATTTTGATTTTAGAAAACCAAATTACAAAATTCAATCCATGTATTTTTAAATTTTTAAAATCAATCATTAATAAAAATATGAACAGATAAACTAATAACTAAATAATTAATTAATTAGAAAATGAAATATCAGAATTGGGTTGCTAAAATAAAGGGACAATGCACCATCCAAACAACAATTACATGGACAACAAGGAAAAAATTCCTCTTTAAACTGAAATCATACGAATAACGCTTCAAAGGGAAGTCGTTTTATCCTAAAATAAAATGTTGAGAACCAAAATGATCAAGAAAAAAAATTATCGTGTCATCCAGACGTCTTTTGACATATAGTATAACATTCACCATAAAAAAAAATCACAAAATTATCTAACCGAATCTGCCACGGCAAGCTGAGTAATTATTGGATACAATTCTAATTTAATTAGTCTTCAATTGCAAGGGATTGTTTCATCCTTTTGTGTACCCCAAAGGCCCAAGTCAACTAATCTAGAAGACATTAATCGAGTGAGGGGCTCCTAGATTTGATAAATAATCAAAATAAATTCGATTATTTTATGATTAGTTAAATATAAGATAATTCACGGATCAAAATACAAATTGTTTTTCACTTCACGTGTGATTCAGTCGATCACTTAAGATAATATAGATTAAAGTTAAAGAACAAATCACAAGAGTTTAAATCCAAGCAAAGGGCCGATTCAATTATTAAAGAAAACAAGAAGAAAGAAAAGAGGAAAGATACATGCGAAAATGAGGAGCATTTGATTCAATTAAGGTCGGCAAAAGCTCGGTTCTTCAGAAGCAAGCATCCAGCAGGCAGCAACAGCACAGAGCAGCCAAACTGCACCGACAAATAATACAAACGCCTTATGATTATTATCAACGTCAAAAGATTTGATTGATTTTCAGAGTTGAAATTTCAAATGACCCAGGAATTGAAAAGAAGAGAGTAAAATATATTTCTCTATGACCAAAACGCCCTGATTTGCAGAACGGAAGACAATATCAAAAGCTTGGCCAAGGGGTGTTTATGGGGACTTTCACGTTAAAAAAAACCTGAAGAATTGACTGTTCATGTGAAAACTTGAAGAACTGACTGGTAATTTTTATCGGGAATTGCGAAAGAATCGTAGATCTGACATGCAAACCGTATATACGCTACAGAAAAACTCCGTACAGTTGTACTATACAAGGAAATCCTAAGACTTACCAGCCTTCCATTAAACCAGTGCTCTGCTGTTTTTGAGGCGGCGGCCCCCTGAGCATATTGAGGGGCATAAGGAGGAGGATATCCCTGAGGAGGATAACCTTGAGGATATCCTTGCTGTGGAGGATATCCCGGTGGTGGATAAGCGTCCTTCGGATATCCTTCCGGTGGATAACCTATCAATTTCAAAAAGGGAGAAAACAATCAGATCCACCAGATTACCAGATCTATTCAATCGCAATGCAAAAAAAGGGACAAGAATATATAAATTAAATATGTTTTTCAAAAAGGAGAGAAAGTAAAAGAAATTAAACGAAGAATCTGGAGTTGACCTTGAGGAGGGGGAGCACCGACCGGAGGCTGTTGCTGATTGTAATAACTCATTGTTTTCTAACTGATTTTCCTGCAAATAGTTTCAACGAGAAGTATATTTTCTCTCTCCCCCTCTGTTTCCTTTCCTTCTCTTTCCGGGAAAATATTTTTCCTGATAAACAACGCTTTGTGTGAACCGAAGGGAACTGGATATATACATATATGTATAGAGAACTGTGTATACCATTTTTGAATTCTTTTCACTGTTGTTGAAGTTGTGAACGATTTGTCATTTACTTTTTTGGCAGGAATTACGAAATGGGCTGTCCACGAAGATTCTTTTAGTGCTTGCTGGCGTTGTGATCGTAATTAATAAGTGGAAATAAGAATATCAATATATAAAATTTAGGATAAACTACACTACTAGTCATCAGTTCATTGCCTCTTTCTATTTTAGCCACCAAACTAAGATATGATTCTTTTAGACCCAGGATTTTTTTATCAAAACATTTAATAATCTTATAATCAATTAGGTACTCGATAGATGCATTTTATTCATATTATATCTTTTTAAAATCATTTCAGCATAAAGTGTATCTATTTAGTATAAAAAAATATACATAAATTTTGAAATTCCCCTTCAAAGTTTTAAAGTGCTGCGACAGCATGTGGTTGTTGATGTGGCATTACAGCCCATTTCGATGGGGAGAGATGCCTTTACGATACATCCGTTCCTATAAAAACACACTTTTCAATTAGAAAATAAAATGAATAATTTAATATAATACTTTGCCTTGGAAATTAGGCCAGAATTCCTTGTCCGATGCGCGTTAAAATAACAAGAAAGTTTATTCCTGAGTGCCGTAAACTTAAAAAGTAAAAGGGAAAACTACATATTTAGTACCCCAATTACCACTTTTAATCTGTTTTAGTTATCTAATTGTTTTTGTTTTCAAAATTATACTCAATGTTACGTTTTAGTTTTATTTTGACCACCTGTCATTAAAAATTAACATAACCATTGACGAGAATTTTAAAAAAATAAATTATGATGTGGCATTATTTTATGGTGACTCATTAGTATCGTCGTTAACTTTTTAACGGTAGGTGACCAAAATGAAATAAAAATATAATGTTAGGTATGATTTTGAAATAAAAAATAGTTTAGTGACTAAAATGAAAAAAAATGATAGTTGGTGTACTAAACAGGCAGTTTACCCGAAATAAAATTAACCCACTAAATATTAAATAGATTAAAATTATTGTTGTTGTAATAATTATAAAAATGTAGATTGTATCACACATTAATATATAATTACCTTTAATTTAAAATTTTGAGATTCTTTTTGTACAATTATAAATTTCAACTTCAACTTAATATTTTTTTTATATTTTTCTTTTGTCTAATTAAATTTGATTATTAACTTCGTAAAAGTGAAATGTGACTCTAATAATTTTTAAATCAAAATTTTATTTCTAAATAAAAGAATTTTTTTTAAATGTCAAAATTTTAACGTTATTGACATAAAATATCATGTGATAATCTATGTATATTTTGTGAAACTTTTAAAATATTTATATCTTTTAGTTTTATTTTTTTAATAAATTGACAATTTTATTAAAAAGAAAAATGATTAAAATTATAATAAATATAAATATAAAGTACACACGTTATTTTGACTTTTTTTATACATTGACACAAAAATTAATCGCTTAAAATCGTATAAAGATTAAACAAAAAATGTTAAACACCCATCTAAAAAACTCGGATAAAAGATACATACAAATCTGACTGCATCGATAAAATGAATCACAACAAGAGATCAAACTACTAAAGACCACATATAACCGCAAACCAAAGTCGAGTGTCGTGGAAAAATTATCTACAATCACAAATAATGTATTCAAATCTAATTGAAGAATCTAGTAGGAGAATCTAAAGTAAAATAAATCAACATAATAAAAAATAAATATTTTTAATTAGTCGATAATACAAATTTTAATATTTATCAAAAGAATAAAAAATAGCCACTCGATAACTTTTGGGAAGAGGTTGGGTTTGATTTGAACCCATACTCTCTTTCGGGAATATTTTGGTCAATGGTATATAAAAATGATCGAATGTTCTATTAAATATTATAAAATAAATAAATAGGCAATTAGCAGATATATAGTTTTAAAAATAATGGATAATATTTTTTAAAAGTCAAGTTAATTTTTTTATTAACCTGCTTACGTAATATTTTTATTAACGCAAATAATTTAAAAGTTTCACTGAAAATAAAATAATTTATCCTTAACGATTAATAAGCTTGATATAAACTTATTATATTTTGTATTTATTATTTGACCAATGTTTTTTATATTATAAAGTTCAGTAATATCAGTTATCATGATGCAAAATAAACAAAGCAAAGTTGTCTACCCCAAATGATTTTATGTTCTATAAATCTATGTGGACTAAAGTCTGCGTTTGAGACTTTGAGCCACCAAATTAATTTTATTCATTTAATATTTTATAAATTCATATATTCTTTTTAATATGATTTAATTGAAATCTATAACTTTTGAATTGAAATCCAACTCGATATTTTACGTCAAAATTTGTATATGACCTGACATATGTATACATATAATTTATTTTTTTAGGTAAAATAAAGATTTAACAAAAAAATAAAATGATATATTATTGTAATTATTTTTAAATATATAAATTATCATTAAAACATTAGATCGAATCAAATTGAATTTTTTACTCTAAATTTGAACCCGTCCCGACTACACTAAAAAAAACTTAAAAATTAACTCTAACTTAACTTGAACTCAGTTTTTCAAAATAAAAAATTAACTCTAACTTAACTTGAATTTTTCGAATCAAATTAATAATATTTTATGAAAAGATAAATAATTTATAATAAATTGAAATTTAATAAAAATATATGCCATCATATAGTTAGATATTTGTTACAAGAAAGCAGTGGCGTGGAGGAATAAAAAGTGGGGAAAGCGTATGAATGCACTAAAAATGTGACAGCTTAGTCATTTTGTGATGTTTAACTTGTTGGAATTCGTACGTATGATTCGTAATAAAAAAAATAATAGTTTTATTTTAAATTAAAATTTTCAGATATTAAAAAATTAGTAATAATTTATGCTCACCTGTTATTAATTATTAAATTTTATGATATTTATTAATTTGTTGTAACCGGTAAATATATTGTATATTAATTTATTCCTTATTTTCTTTTATAAATATTAAGTTTTGGTTCATTCTTTAATACACGAAAGCAATTTGTTTCTTCATTTCCTCACCCTTTTACAAATTATATTTTCCTTGAATATAAAATACTTTTTTAGCTTCATATTTTTTATTCCAACGTACAAATAAAAAAAAGTTATGTTAATTTTAAGTAATGTTTATTTTACGATTATATTGATTAAAGTTAAATAATTTTCAATTTATTACGATTTAATAAATTTAATATACTTTATTTATTAGTATTTATTAATATTAACACATTTGTTTTGGGAAAGTAAATACATATTTACCAACACGTATCTATTGCATCTGCCTAACAACTAAATAATATACGCTTTTTATAAAATTTATGTTATTAAAGATAACGTTGAACAACCAACGATAAATTCATTTAGTAAGATGATGTATTAGATATATTAAATAAGATTAGGAGTTAAAACGGTGACGTTTGTGAATGAAACAAACTGAGTTAAGATAATCGCCTTCTTCATATTAGACCTTTGTGGATCTGATCTAAATTAATTGATTAATAGTTTATATATTTGTGATTATATAAGAAAGATAATATTAAACAAATTAATTAATATATATTTTTTAAAATAAAAAGAAAAAATATTATTAGGAGCGATGAATAAGCATATTCAACTATATTATCATGTTGATAATTAGTTATATTATAATACAAATAAGATATAATTAGAGTGCTGACAAATACTTATCAAAATAAGATAATTAATTAAAAGATTAAGATCAACAAAAGAATTAAATAACTCACAAATTGGAGAGAGGATGAGAAACCTAATCCTAAAATAAATTAATTGAACTTCATTTATCATGCTATTATTCATTCATGAATTGTTACGTCAATGTTACAGTTAATTAATCAACCAAATTATATTTTCCTTCAAAAGAATAAAATCGAGAAATTTGGTAAGTTTAGGGGCTAAAAGATAATTTATTCCTAGAAACAAACTTCAAACCCAATCACAAACAGGCGATCCAACTCAGCGTGATAGAGGGCTTTAGGTTACAACAGGAAGTCCAAAATCAGAGGGCAAAGTTGAAGTACACAGCAGCAATGGCGGAGGAGGCGATACTAGGCTACCCACGAAGAGATCCCAGGCTCGGAACAGTTCGCAACCGAACAGGGTCTCCTACACAACGAAGTCGTCAATGTCATCGACAGCCTGCACGGCTTCCTTTACATCGATGCCTATGACATCAAAAGGGAGACTTGGGTCCTCACCCACGAGGGTAAAAAATATGCCGCCGAAGGATCTCCCGAAGTCCAACTCTTCTTATCTATCCCTCCCGAAGGCTCCATTCCTAAAGATGAACTTCAGGCCAGTGACTTTCGCCAATTTCTAATTCATTCTCAATTTTGGGTCTTCAAATATTGGGATTTGTATTTTAGCAACTTAACATGTAAATTTTTTTTTAACCTTGAGTTGGTACAGAAAAAGCTAGACCCTTCGGTTTTCAAAATCGGTTGCTCACAAGCTGGTAAAAACAAATGGGTAGAAATGGGAAAGCTAGTTTCCAGAAAGGTAATCGTTTGTGTCACATCCCAAAATAGAGTTTAAATTTTTCTAAAAAAAAATCAAGGATTAAATTGAATTTTAATTTAATTTAGAGATCAAAGTGAAATTTTAATTAAATTTAGATTCAAATTCAGAAAGAAACTAAAGATGAAGGACCTATGGCATGATTTTTTTATTTTCCTTTTTAGGTTTATATAACCCAAAATAAGGAAAAAAATCAAATTATTTTATTTTCTCTCTCTTCGATCTTTTCCACTTATATAAAGAAATATTTGATCGTCGATCGTTGATCTGTTTTCGACATTTCTCGTATAATCTTGTTCATTGCGTCGTCTCGGGTCCATCAGTGTCTTTCTAATCTCCGTTGTTGCCGACGTGTGAGTGGGTGAGGAATATCAAGTTTTAGACATTTC